ACACCAACAACACAGGAAGAGGAAGAGGAAGAATCCAGTCAGGACATTCCACAAGAGTGCAAGAGGAAGATGATCCATGGAATGGGACCCCTTGAATGTTGATCGTACTGGTTCTAAAGATGAGGATGAGGACGACGAAGATGAGGATGACGATGAGGATGATAGAAAACAGGCAGCGCGATAAAGTCTAGGAGCGAGAGCTCTGGATCCGTCAGAGATAGCTCCAACAGCTATGCTGGCCTACAGCTCCAGCACCCACAGCTGGCTTATCTCCAGCAAAGCAGCAAGAAAGGATCGTCCTTTCCACCATAGTTAAGAAAATAGTACGAAAGATTGAGACCGATCTGATTAGCTTGTAGCCCCTTTGATACCGCAGCAGTTGATACCAATCCTGTTGAGGCCGGGCAGAAGCAGTAGGTGGTAGCAGATAGTACTGTTCCCAGACTGCCACTGCACGATTGAATAACGAAGGCTCCCAGCTCTTGAGGTGAGCTGGCCAAAAGGGTCCAGCAGAGAGCTCTGCTGGCCCTCTTGTCTGACTGACAGGGCCAAGTCCTTGGTTTGGTGCCTGCTGGAGGTGTTGGAACACTCCTGAGGCACGACAAGGCTCCCTGAACTGCCTGACTACCGCTGTACCTGAGGAGGGTTTCAGCGAGATCCAGTCCACTACTTGGGTAATGAACTTCAGAAACTTATTGGATTAAACAGTCAGCATAGATTTACAGGCAGTTCTTCAGGGAAGAAGAGACCTCCTTGACGAGAAAATGATCTCTTCAGAATTACACTACAGCTACAGTTGGATTCATTGGATTTTCATTGGATTTTGGTGGTGATTTCAAGGCTCATCTTGAAGTCTTATCTACACAACCTTCTGGTCAATTTTGATACTTCCAACCTTCACCACAGTGACAAGCGTTTCAGATTGACCAAACACCAATCTACAACTCCAACACAAAGCCATTGCCATCAAAAAGGATCTACAAAAGCTACCATCTTGACAACAACATCATTGACGACAACAGCCACTAGCTTGCTAGCACGAAGCACGGAGTTCGCAAAATCAGCCAATTCCTCGAAAGAAGAAGCACACCGAACACCTGGAGTCTCCGAGTGACTCCAAGACTTATTGTTTGCACCTATTTGTCAATCGACAAGGCTTTTACGTCCGTCCAAGCAACCACTGTTTATTACGGTCGACTATCTCTACGGCTTATCGCTTTCAATCCTCCATTGATTTACGTGATTTATTGGTGAAGACCGAGGCTTATCTCTTTTCTGGATTCTTATTGATCTTCACGGAACGTTCTTGGCCAATCAGATCGTCCGTGCAGTTTTCGAGTGTCACGAGTTTCTGTCCTGAGCGTTTCACGGAACGTTGAAGAAGATCGCCGCGAACGTACCGGAACCTTTGGCGATCCACGGAACGTATTGACGTTTTTTTCGAAAGCCGCTCAGCCAATCAAATTGCTCGTGCAGGATTCGAGCGTTCCGTGAAATTCGGTACTTATCGACGTGCACTGAGTCAGCGAGTGGAACGACAAAGAATTCTCACTCGATCCTGGATCCTCGAAGACTTATCGGGGAGCCTCCGTACCGGTTCTGTGACCTTTAGCGACGAGTTTTCCCTTTCCAAAAGAGGCTCAGCCCGTAAACTGGAAGCGACTCACATTTTAAGAGTTTACACCGTCGAGTCATTGAAATCGTCCACGAAATGCGATCTTACGGAGCCCACCGAAAGGAGTAACTCGAAGGGCTCCGTGGCACCCAAGACAACGATTCGCTTGGCTGAAACTGTTACCAGTTGGATCCGCCATCCCTTTGTTTAGTAGTGACACACCAGCTTGATTCTGGAAGCTTTTGTGGGAGATTCATTGGACCCAAGTTGAATGGCTCCACAGTGGCAAAATCTCACAATCCAAGCCAATTCCCCGCACTACGGCAATTCAGGAAACAGATTCCAAAGCTTGTACACAGGCTACCTTATTCAAGTACACTTAGATTGAATTTCCCAGGCCCCTAGCAAGGTCCAAGAAGTCATCTTTGTGGTTTCCAGATTACAGTTGTGTCAAGGTTTTATTACACTGCCACAAGAAGTGTCCCCAGTACAACCAGTACACACCTCTTCTTTTCAGCAACAAGCGGCACCATGTCTTTCTATGGTTTCTACAGCGATGTGAGCGACCCTTATGCACCTGGCTACTCCGAACGTTGGTGGCACCACGCCTACCCTGGGCCCCAAGTCCAAAGTAGCTACACCGCCTGTGCCCGCCCCACACACCACGATGGAGCGCAACAGAACCTAGCCTACTGCCACCGGCATCGAGACACACACAGCCACCAGTGCCACCACCAGATGAATACAAATCCGTCTTTGACATTCTTGAGAAGACACGGCACCACCTGTGTCAACAGTGTCCCCACCAGACGCATCACATCACCCTTCGACATCCTTGAGAAGAGCCGGCACCCATGGCCTACGGTAGGACCAACCACCAGCTGGGTGATGGGGAGATTTCAGAGCTGTCTCCTGACAGCTCCAGTTGTCACCCAGATCCCATTTATACCCCAGCCATGGAAAGACATGCTGATCCACTTTCAACAGCAACAGGTCACCGTGCCAACAACTCGACCTCATGAGAGCTGACCACGAAACCTTCAAGCGAAAGATGGAAGCTCAGTTCATCGCGTTGAAGGACCAACTGACAACTCAACTGGAAGCCTTGGTCATGGTAGCTGCTAGGACACCTGTCACAGCACCTACACCTGCTTTGACACCACCAGTTCATGGGGAGACCACAGCCCTTGCCCTGGATCTACTCCTTCTTGTTAGTCCAGTGTCAATGCCCAGCACTCTGTTCCGTGCCTCAATACAAGGTTGATAGGCTTGTATGTGATTTGATAGAGCTCTCTGGTTCTTAAACCAATCATCACAGTACTCACAACGATACCAAACCATTTGTAGATAGGTACAAATCAACTGGTAGCTTACAGACGTTACTTTTTAGCATATAGAATGTACTAGACACCATCAAAAATGTGGCTTCTGAGGTTCCAAATTGACAGTTTCTGGGCTCTGGAGTGGCTCAATCTTATAAAATGAGATTGTACTTAGCAATCCGTAAACTCGTCCTGGTGCATTCTGTATGTAGTTTGCCTCCTAAATACATACGCATACCTAAGTAACCGAAAGGGCACGACTGGGTTGGCAAGGTCGTGGCTGTATGTTATCATGCATGCTACCTTACAAATCAGGAGCTCGTCGGATCCGGTTGGATGACCTCACCTTCCGAAACTGCTGAATTACTACCAAAGCTTTAACCAGCGACGTCACGATTTTATATGCCAAACACGTGGAATGGAATGGTAGGGGTGCTCCCGTTTTCGTGCTACCTAAAAATGCGCTTCTTAGATGGAAAGTTAGAGAGAAATTTTTCATACTTGATTTCATACGGATTTGGCATTGACGTAGGTCGCAATTTCATTCAGTGTGCCTGGTAAAAGCAGAGTGCAGTGTTGCTTAAGCTTGGCTTCTTCTTGTTGTTTTTCCATCAACTGCTTTGATGCCGACACCACGGCTATCTCATTGTTGACTTCCTGTTGTCGACAACAAAGAAGGTGTTAATTCCCTGATGACACCTATGCATATCCGGGAATCAAACGACACGGATCAAGAATACTGGCTTAAGCTAGCTAGGTCTTCACTCTAAACGGAAACGACAACGACAGCAACCAGGGAAGCCTGATGCTGCTAAAATCTCGCTATCGGCTGCTGTTATAGCGGGAGCAGTTCGCGCTGTTCCAGCTAACACTCTGGTCCAAATTGAAATTGACGGTGTGGCTCATCAGATTCAATCTGGTGGCGACGGCTCTTTCATGTTTACTCCTCCAGCTCTCGTCGACGGCTTTCACAACGTTCTAATCAGTGCATGGCTACCGGCGTATGATGCTTTTAGGGAGTCTATTGAGTCTATCGAGTTAGCTCTAGTAATAGAACCACCTCCTTTCTCCTCCTAAGAACCTGTCAGACAGGGTACCGGTACCCTAATGACTCAGCCGCGTCCGTCGCTGTTATTCTGTCGTGGGAGGCACCGTCAGCCGACCCTCCTTTTCAACAGCGGAATTACGCTTTACATCTTGGGCGTCTTGGTACACGACGCTCGTCATGGTGCTGGATGGAGTTGAGGGCCAAGAGTAGAACTGAGAGGTGAAGGTGATGTGTCTTGTTCACTAGGTTGTGTATGGACCTAGTGTTGATGGACTCTGCGTCCATGGCGGGTATTAACCGTCATTAGGGGTCGTCAGAGTTCCTGATCCTTGCACCTTTTGTCAGCTCCCTTTTACCACGCCATCTTTCCAGTCACCCCTCTTGCCTTTTTGTCAAGAGGGACGGAAACTTCTTCTAAAAGGGGCGATACGAGGTGATTTTTGAGCCGTAAATCTGTCAGACCAGATCTTTCTGCCACTATCACCCTTTTGAGTACTCCTTTGTAAGTTGCCTGAACCAATCACATTTTGGACATAGCGCTATTAATAGTTTTCAGTACATAGACGTTTTCGCCCCACGGATTGGCTATAATGACTATGAAAATAATCAGTACAAATAGGCATAACTAAATAAATCTCAGCAAGTTTCAGTTTTATTGCAAACTTTTTGGCCGGCGCTTCCCACATTCGACCGGCGTTCAACGTGGGTGCAAGTGAGCGCGAGTGGGTCCAAGTAATCTAAGGTACACGTACTAGTACAGTATGTACTAGTATCGTAGTGCTTCAACCAATCTCGACCGTGTTCTATCGTCGTGGAAACCAAAAATATGTTACTGGGTACCGCTACATACCGGTATGGAGACGCTCACTGGTTCAAAGCCTCAAAGAAGATTTCGCAACGGTCAAATCATTGAGGCCGCTACATGTACAACCCACACCTCTCTTCGAATCGAATCGAATCTCGAGACTGAGACTTGGTTCGAGGGAACTGAGGACTGCAAATCCAATCAATGACAATGATGACGAGTGATCGGCAAGGATCCAGGCCAAGATGGTCTTCACGAATGAGCCTTGGCCTGTTGGTGGCAGCGGCTCTCTTCCTGAGCAGCTGTCTGGTCCACGCGGCCAACGACGACAATAAAATGAATTTTGGCATGGGCGTTGGAGTCGAGCACTATTTGGATCTGATTCCCATTGCCTCGGAAGATGGCGAAAGCAGCTGGAAGGAAGCCAATCGATTGTTTGCCCTGGGCGAATCCTCCTACGATGCTGCCGCCTTGCATTATTGGCGTGCCGTGTTACTACACAATCATTCTCCCAAGTACACGGTCCAAGAGGGCTTTGAAAAATTCATGCAGTGCATGTTGCTGCAGCACAAACCTGCCGATGGCTTGGCGTACGTGGCGCTAGAGTCATTTCGACGAGGGCAGAATCAAATGGGACAGAATTATTTGGATCAAGCCTTGCAAATGGATCCCAACAATCAATGGGCGCGGGACGTGGAGGATGAATTTGGAACTGGCTCGCCCTCGTCGTCGCCCAAAAACAAAAAGAAGAAGAAAAAGGTTGTGGCGGGTCGAGGTGGAGCCGGTGGATCCGCGGCACAAAGTGCAGCATCACATAGACGAAGAACATTTGACAGTGACGACGAAGATGATGAAGACGACGACGAGGAAGAAACAGAAATTTACCCCGACCTTACTCCCGCTCAGCTGTACGAAAAAGCCAGTAGTGCATTTGCCGAGAAGGATTACGAACTCTGCGCGGATCTTTTTGAGATTTCCTGTGCTAGATCCAATTATCGCCTTGGTCCAAGTTGTGGCAATGCCGTCTACTGTCGAACTTCGATTTTGGATTGGGGTTTCAATGGAACTGATTTTGAAAGGGACATGAAACGCATTGAAAGCATAACCGACAGTGAAAGTAACCAGTATCGATTCGAAAGTGAAAATGGAACCCAGTGGCACTGGCAACGAGCGAGTTCAGGTATGTCAAGCATGAGTATATCAATTGTCACTTGGCGGACTCTTTTTGGGAATGTCCAAAGAGGCAGAACTATTGGTCGTTCTCACCTCATTGCGTCCACGTGATTTTCTCTTTACTTTGCGCGCGCTCTTGCTGGGCAGTGCATCCGCACATGACTCTTGGTTTCCCAATCAAACCGCTGCTGAAACGATTTGTCACGGAATCTGTGGCATTCATGGATGAAATGATGGCAAGGGCTACGGACAAGGGAGTTACACCGCTCCCGGATGACTTGCCTTACGATCCAGAGGATGATCGCGCTCGTCTCGTGGAAGAATACAGCCAACCAGGGTCCAAAATTCGTGTCGGCTTTGTGGGAAGTGGATTCAATTCCAAAGCTGTCTTGTACTTGTCGCAAGATATGTTCCGCTTCTTTGACAAGAAACGCTTTGAGATCCACATTTTCAGTGTGGGACCAGCAGACAATCCACTCTTTATTGAACACGGAATGCGTGGGGTTGATTGGAGGCAACGGGTTATCAACAATGTAGGCAAGGATAGATTTCATGACATTCAACACATGAAACTGGACCACATCAAAATGGCAAGGTTCATCAAAAAACAGGATATTCATATCTTGATCGAGTGGGACGGATATGCTCGACAGGGAGAACGAGCTCAAGGATTGTTTGCCCTGCGCCCGGCGCCCATTCAGATTCTGCATCAGGAATACCTTGGAACCAGCGGAGCGCAATACGTCGACTACTTGTTTACTGACAAAGTGTCCAGCCCTCCTCATTTGCAGCACTTGTATGCCGAGAAACTAATCTACATGCCCAACCACTTCTTCAGCAAAGGCCACGCTGTACAGCCCGAAGTCATGGCGCCGTCGTATGAATACGAGCCAGCCAAGTTTCCCTACAAAATTGGGTATGGCAGTCCGCAGGAGAATCGTTGCATGGCTCGCAAAGGAAAGACTCCTTCCATTGTCTTTTGCAACTTTAACAAGTTTCTGAAGAACAACCCCGAAACCGTGAGAAGTTGGATTCGTATTCTTCGAGAAGTGCCCGACAGTATGCTATGCCTCTTGGAAAACCCGAGCTCGGGTGTGGCGTATCTTCGGAAGTTCATTCATGAAGCAGCCGGAACGTCCAATGGGAATGCCGATGAAGACTCCTTTTCAGCGGGTGACGGTGACGACTTGAACAGCCGCATTCACTTTTTGCCGTGGGAACGAAACCCGTTTGACCATCAAAGACGAAATCACGACTTTTGCAATGTCATGCTTGATTCTTACCCCTACAATGGACACACTGTGGCGCAAGACTCGTTATACGGTGGAGTTCCCATTGTGACGAGAAGTGATGGTGACGACATGTGTTCTCGTGTTTCCACGAGTGCCAATATCGTGCTTGGACTGGACGAGTATATGAATGCCTACGAAGGACCAACGGACTACGAAAACAAAGCCATTGCTTTGGGCAACAATCCAGAGCTCTTCCAGAGCATTCGGAAAAAGCTGATTGACACCTGCCTTCAACGAAACCCAATGCACCCGTATTGGGATGTAGCTAGATACCTCAAGAACATTGAAGTGGGCCTCACAATGGCGTGGGAACGATTCCTGAGAGGCGATCCTCCAGAACACTTGGAGATTGAAGAAACAGAAGCTGCAAAGAGGGGAACCTATGACGACGAGCTGAACGCTCACCCACCAGACGGACCCCTGGCCGTACCTGATGTCGTCGAGTCATCTGCTCCGGAAGACCACCAAGAGGCACCCGAGCCGGATGCAGAGACAGTCGTGGGAACAGACGAGTTGTAAAGGAGAGGACCATGAGGCAGCGTCAAGGAACTCTAGAGACCAATGAACAACTATATAGAGATGAGTAGTGACTACTATAGGCAAAAGTGATACCTTCTAGCTTGGTGACAAAATCTATCATATTTGCAGCAAAGGAATGTCACTCATTTCTCTCAGAGAGCACACATATTCTCCCAGAAGAATCATGATGATGGTCCCCAAGACATTGACAATCCACCAATCCCAGGTCTTGGGCATACCATCATAGGCAGTGCAAACGCTCAAATGGATGAGGAAGAGAGTGAAGCTGAAGTCCAAACACTTTTTTGATTTTTCCACAATGATGGCCAAGAGCACGGCGCTAGAGTGGGACAGCGTCAGGACGGTTAATGTATGTGTCGCACATGAAGGAAGTGTGAGTCGGTGCCTTAAACCCAAAAAGCCGTGTTATGGTGTATCCCGTAACGCTTTAATAAAAAAAGAAAGCAGAAGCAGCAGCAGCAAAACACAAAACCCCTCACTCAAAAGCTGAAGATGACACGCGAAGAACACAGCAACATGTATGTCAACAGTACTCACCCCGCAATGGACGATGTGAGGACGGCAAGTGTATCCGGCAATCCTCGATAAGACCACACTTTCAAGTAGTGGTCAGTGAAGATGCGATCTATGGTGATTGACGTTCCGTATATGACTCGGTTGATTTGAAAGCAGAGTCCCAGGAAAACGTAGTGGAAACACTGCATGGAGACGATCTGAGAACAGATGAGGCGGGCATTGAAATCCTTCTTATCGTCCTTACGTCCACGAGACGTAGCGCCTCGTCTGGATCGAGGAGCTGGCGGCGTTGTGGCTTGGACGGCAGTGGGAGAGGGGACGTTGTTGGATCCGACATTACCCGACCCGTTGCTTTCCATGCTGCGACTGCCCAAGTTGAAGCTGGCCGTGGGTGAGATGTTGATTCTTCTGCCGGACATGTTGTTGACCTCTGTTCTGTCTTCCAATGATGTATATGGTATGCGTTGTTTTTCTTCAGCCTTGTGGTGTGGTGAACGAGTCCCCTCTTCGCCATCGTTGATTGATGAAGCCTTTTTGGAGGAGTTTTTGGGATTACTTGCAGTCACGCATGATTCAATTGTTCTAATGACTTGAATACTTGAATTGAGGCCTCATGTTTGTGCAAAGATTTATGGAACTCGCCATCGGCGGACCGACGGACACAACGTTGATTTACAAACGTGTGTAGGATTGTGGAACTGTGACTGGCCTCAAAATGTCTCAGAGTCTCAGTTGGTTGCTGTTTCTTAAAAGCTCCGAATGAAAAATGATTTCAACCGTGCTGTGGCGGAGATAAGGGGTTCTCTTTTTCTCATGTTTAACAGGGTTTTACTCGCTGGTATTGTACTCTCTTTGGATCTTCACTGATCTTCCGTTTCAGCATTGTCCGAGCGAGTGCTCACGTGCTCATCGAGTATCAGGAAAGAGAGGAAAGAGTTGGCAGAGATGGTTCTTGATTCCACTGTTGCTCCTCTAAGTGAAGGTGGGCGGTTCGCCGGTACCAGCGCTGTAACCCTAAATTCTACGAGGGGCTCCGCCGGAACTGGAACTGCCAGCGACCAGCTACTGGCTATGTGCTAGCCACCTCGGATGGTAGAGCTGGGAAAAGAGCCAGGCTCCCTCGAGCACTGCAGTCCAACCGATCTGATAGAAGACTACCGTAGCGAAAGACAACAGATTTTGGCTGCGCTTTTGGTGCAGAGCAATGCGAGATAAGGTGAGTTGACCATGACGGTCTTGATTTTGCTTTTGGGGATTTGGCAGACCTGCAACCAACGTGGAAGTCTCAGAAGGGAGGTGGAAAGCCCAGTGATTTCCTTGTTTGCTGGGATAGTGCACCGCCATTTTGAATTGATATCCTCTGATCGTGCACCTGCCACAAGGCCGAACAATGCTGGCCGTTGAAAGCATACTATCGCGATAGTATCATCGAGAAAGATGATTTCTGGGTGTACGCACAGAACATGGACAACCTCTCACACTTTTTCTATTCTGCATGGGTATCATCTCTCACCATCAATTTCGGTTAGGCAAAAATGTCCGAAACACCGGACACGAAACCAGCCGAGACGGCCAAGGAGGGCACCACTGAGGAAACCAGTGCCAGTGCTACCGGTAGCGGCGGAGGCTCCGGTGGAAGGCCTAACCAAGGTGGTGGACAAGGTGGTGGAAGGCCACGCCGTGGCCCTCCTCGAGAAAAGACCTGCTACAACTGTGGGCAGGTGAGTCCTATATCGACATCGGATGGAAAGATTGCATTTTTTATTAATGTTTGAGAACTAAACTTTTTGATATCTCTACCTTGTTTCATTGCCAGAGTGGTCACATTGCCAGAGACTGCCAAAATGATCGTCTGGAAGGCGACGAACGGCAGGTAATCAACAAAGCTCGGGCTCAGTATCGGAGATGTTTCAACTGTGGCAGAATGGGACACATCTCTGCCGATTGCACGAAACCTGCCGGAAACAAAGCTTGCTACAACTGTGGTCAGGAGGGACACATCGCGAAGGAGTGTCCTAATCCCCGTTCAAACGAGTAGAAGCCACCAAAGGAGAAATGGATTGGATCGTAATGCAACAATGGCAGATTACAAAGAACTGTGGTATAGGCGAGGAGGACCAGCTATTGACCGACGTGCCGATCAAGCTAAACAACAACCAGTTGTACCTTTTGATTTTTCTGTGTGATGGTAAGTCCTGGCCTGGCGGGCTTTTACCCCCGGTTTGATATGCTCAGCATTGCCTCCTTAGGATGCCCAAATTATACATATGTTAGAACGGTGTGCTATTGTTGCCGAGAATATACGTGGCTGAAGGGAAGCGACTGAAGTGTGCCTTTGTTTGCACTGGAATCTTGAAAGAATTGTCAAAAGCTTCATTCGTCTCACAACAACCTTTGTGTCGTATCTTTGTTTCCCAGAGTGCCGGTATTCATAGTTAAAATAGTATTTGTTGATCCGTGAACCACCAAAATTGCTCGTACATGTATTAGCTTCGTATACCCATGGAGACGGACAGAGATAGTCCATGTTGCTGTGCCAGCCAACCAATGACATTTTCTAATGATTGCAGCGAGGGTGCTACCTGCAAACAGCGCGAATCTCCACTGTGACCGCATGATAATAGTCTAGTACGGTATCAATCGATAGTGTGCTCTCGACGTTTACACTCACGGGTGCTTGGTGACAAGCTACTCCTTCTGTGCTTCATAGACAGGTGATGTTGGTCGCTTTAATTCTCGCGAATCCACCAAAGTGTTGGTTGGGTCTTGGCAGTCTATTAAGCATTCATCGCTCGTGTGGTGCTACGGTGCCCTTGCTGTGGCTACTTGACAGTACTACCGTGCAGGTCTACCAACGCCACTGTGCTCATATTGGACAAGGATGGCTATGTGCTCTTTTGCTCAGCATGGCTTTTTGCTGCTGCCACAAAGGCCAGTTGCATCATCAATGCACTCGGCAACTCTTTGGATTCCGCGAGCGTTGGGCGGGTGGTACAGGTAATCTTCTGCGCTGGGTGCTTTATTAGACCATCTGGTGGCCAAACGTATTAGTGAAGCTCTTAGTGAACGGGAAAGCATTGCGGAATTGCTGTTCTGAATCGAATGATCGAATCTTTCCGTTCAGTGCGAATCCAAAGAGAACCCAGGAAGAATGCCTTGTCTCGTAGGCTTTGAGTTTCGCATGGCCCTTGGTGTACACAAGAGATGCCAGTTGAGCACTTGCTCTGTTCTCTTTTTCGTCCTGCAATATTGCCAATAGATACTTTTAATGCTCCAATGTCAAATCCACCCACTTGTGCCACTTTCAAACCTTGACGTCATAAATTTTCGCAGGACCTCTGGGAGACCTAGTTGGATGAGGAACGTAGGCCGTCCAATCGCTTTTCACCATTGCCCACATGGCCACCTCCTTGTCAAAACGAAGCGCATGGACCATACATGCTGCAGTGCTATTGTCCTCCGCTGAGCCCAACAATCTAACATGTCCTTCTTCCCATCTTGTACATGTACCGGTAGGACTATAGCTGCTCGCAAACACTCAGCATCCGAACTCGTGCTCATCTGGCAATGACTGCGGCAAAACGGCAAGTCCTCGTCATCATTATGTGCCGTAGTAAGAGCCCTCCTCCATCAACAAGGCAAGCTCACAAGAAGGAACGATTGGACCAAGCTTGAGGCGCCACTGGCCTTGCCTTTTGTTTTTTCCATCGGCAAAGAATCAGTTGCAAAGGGCCCCAATGCGCGACACAGTACTTGTGGGTGTTGGATTTGCGCTGGAGTCAAGGACCTGGTGGACCTTTTTATCTCTGCCTGTTGCACACATGCTGGATACAAAATGACAAGTTTGAGTTGTCCCAAAGACTTGTTGCGGTTGGCACTGTCGTATGGAAACCATATGTTGTTGGGAAGGTCCTTTTCAATGGCATTTTGTAGGCCATATCCAACCAGATTGCTTGCTTTGGTTTCGCTACAAGTGCGGCTGATGTGCCGGTACCATGGTGCACACTGAACAAAGCGGTGAAAAGGTTGCTCGTTGTGCTCCTGGCGCGGGCTCAAAAGGCAGGATTTTCGCACAAACACGCTCCACCGTCATCTCAGTATGAGTTTGATCCCACATCTCGGTCGGAATCTTCCACGGCGGAGTCCAGAAAGGTTGGATCAGAGGAAAACCGGGAGGGCATATTGTTATCAAGAGCACAAGAGCCCGCAGAACATGGGTCTTTGGAGAAAGAACGGTCTTCCGTCTTGAAAAACTATTGACTTCAATCGGCCAAGATATCATAGTAGAGCAATTGGCAAGATCATTCATGGAGACCACACGGTTTCTCTCATGTGGGCACGTGCCTATCCGTCCCAGCGCCAGATTGGAACCATGAATCAGGTCTTCATTCTCATTTGACAAACTCTCATTCCTTCAACAATCTAGCAACCTCTTGTTCCAGTTCTTCTTGCGAGCTCTTCTTTCCTGCCAACGTCTTGTTTGATCCTGTGAGCAAAAATAATCTGAATCTATTGGATTGCTTACATGTATGTATTGTTGTGGCTTCCACACTTCTTCGCAGCTTGGCTTCGCAGATGCGCCGCCGGTACGTGCCGGGACGGAACGACCTGTGTGGAAGTTGCCGCCGGTACGTTCGGACAAGGGTCATTCACGCGCACGATTGAATGTTTATTACCCAAGAATTTAGCAGTGTGGCCATCCACAGAAACAACAAAGGGATGGGAGGAGGATAACCTACGAACTTTGCGTTGGGATAGCAGTAGATTGCATGCAGAGATGAAATTCGAAGCCATAGACACATGGGGTGACGTGCACTAGATATTCGTGACTATAACTTGTGGGCGGTGGGAAAATGGGAGGCTCTGTCTCCACATCCTGTGCTACGTAGAACCCTGCCAATACCGGTGGTGAGTAAACCAACCAACAATACTATGCCAATCGGATAAATACGGTAGCACTTCGAAAGATCACTCGTCGATACCGGATTACCTAGCCCTTACGGCACTAGCTAGTCAGTGTCTTTGCCATCGCGAGTGCCAGTTTCACTTCATTCTCTTCAAGCTTCAAGCTTCCCTCAAGATGCAATCCAGCAATCTCTTGTTGCTCTGGAAGTTCAGCTTGCGAGTTCAGCTTGCGAGTTCCTTCCATTCCGTCATCTTCTGCATATTTTGATGCAAACAAAGACAGTTGTTGCATCGTTGCATCGTGCATTGTGCGATTGAGAAGCCGACATGACCCTACATGTAATACCACCTCGGAATGCCCCTTGCCGCGACCAACTCCAAGACCCAGTTTATTCGCATAAAACTGGTCCCCACTTTTTGTTTTTCGGAAAGACGAAGACAAACTTGTACGACTATACCATAGCATTTGCTCTCAATGTGGTATCGTACCAATTGGTATTGACAAGAGTGCCGGCAGCGGATACTGTACCCCTTCTGGCAAAGTTGATGGAAAGTTGACGGCAAAGCCTCAATGGTACTAGTACTGGTATCCACCATCCAAACGTTGTTGACCCTTCCTTCTCCGAAGGTTTTTTGTTCTGTATCATCAATTCCTCCTCTCCCCTCCTCCGGTTCTCCTCTAATCATACACAACTGAGAGATGAAGTCTTCAGTTTGGTAGCTTGCGGGTGGTACACCGGTTAGCGGTATTACAGCTGTAGCTGCAGCCAGTGCCCAACAAGTGGCCTTTGGGAGAAAGCCGGCTCAGCGGCTAAACGCTGCAGCTCCCTGGAGCGGCAAGGGCATCACAGCATCATCAGCCATCAGGGATTGAGGGCTTATCAGATTACGGTGAACTCGAGCGCTGCAATGACACCCAACCATGGTCGAGCGTCTCAAAATTTTCTAATTAAAGCCCCCCCTGCTCTCAATTGAAGTTTTGATTTTAGCCTAGGTTTTCAGAAAGGCTCTGATCCCGGAGATCTATGATTTAACGCTTTCGTGAGTCACGAGAAAAGTTTTCGGAGGCTTATCTTTGTCGCGGTGCCGCCACATTTCCGATGGACCGCTTGGCTATTTCGCAAAGAGAAGGGAACAAACTTGGCTACCAGTACGGTTGTACCATTACACGCAGTAACAAGTTATAGCTTCCTTCTTGGATCTCTTTGGTTTTGTCAATCAAGTCCAGGAGGAGTGCAACATCAGCATCACCAGCATCAGCCTCGGCCCTCACCCAACCAACTAGTGAGAGTGAGCAAAGATTCCAAGTCTTTGTGTTGGAAGCAGTTCTGTCCAAGTCTCGAGTTGAGGCCTTCCTTGGACATCAGAGAAGCATTGAGGAACAGAAGATAGAAACAAGCCGAATAGAAGATTCGATCAATCAATCAATCAATCAATCAACCCATATATACATAATATATCCACGGCTGCAGCCAAGATGTCTGAATCCAACAACGCCAACAATGGCATTCAACCGATAGAAGTAGACATGTTTGAACGCAATGAGACCCCAGCTGAGGAACCCGTCACGGCAGAAACACTGCTACCAAATAATGATGGTTTGGTGGTGGCAGGGATGGGAGGGCTTATACCGCCCCAGTCACAGAATTCTGATATGGATACTAGTAGCCGCCACAGCATTGTGGATATCCAAGATAGCGAGGATGAAGATGACGATCAAAGCGAAGCGTCCTTTGCAAATGATACCCAACAGTCGTAAGTCAAGCTTAGTCTTTGTGCCGTGCGTGTTGTCTGTACTCTGGACAAGACAAAAATGATGTACGGCATCTCACATCGTATGCCCTTGTCTGTACGATAGATCTGAACATTCGGCGGCGGATGACCTGGACGTAAGTGAACGTGGCATGTCGGAATCCATTCAGAATCAGGAAACTTTGACAACATGGGCAGGCCACTATCTACCCACCCCGACCACGAGGAACAGCATTCTGTCCAGTGGTTCTAATCACGGCACAAGGGAGAGGCGACGCAGCAGTGAAAGATCCATCTCTTTCTCCCCGTTTGTCGTCGTCTTGGACAGCGAACCACCCATGCACGATGACAATGATGATACCGAGGACTCTCGAGGTGACTTTGCTGAAAAGCAACCAGACTCAAGCTTTGGAAATGTACAGCAAGGCTCTGGTGATGGACATCCAAACTTTGGGGATGTGCAAGCAGGCTTGATTAGTGGGATGGTGCGACCCGCACCACCCATGGACCCCCTGTCCTCAAGCAGCTCCAGTGGCTCTCCAGCAGTAGAGGAAGACGCTGGTATGAGTGTTGGGAGAACAAGTTCATCTGAATTATCGCATATTGGAGACATTCGCACCGCTGAGAAGATCATGTCAGACTCTCCACATGACGACCTAGACTTGAGTGAACAGGGCTTGTCAGACTCTGTGCATACACATGACAGGCTCAGAACTTGGGCAGACCACTACCTCCCAACTACCCCTCAAAGTGCAAACAATTCCAGCAGCCAAAGTGGCAGAAGTGAACGCCGTGATAGGTCCATCTCATTCTCCCCATACATTGTTGTCCTGGAAAACGACGCGCTGGACAACGCATCTCAAGACGACGATGTTGCAATGGAGGAAAACGGTTCTGTAGAGCAAACCAAGGAATCCACGCCGTCAGATCCTCCTACGCCAGTATCTATCAGCAGCTTGAGCGACTCTCCAACCGACTCTGATGGAAAAGATGACAGCATGTCGGCTTCCAGTCAGGGGGATGATGAATCGAGCCAAGGGAGCAGCATGTCAGGATCCCTTCTGCAAAGTCTCAGTGCGATTCGGAGACGTGTGTCTAGTTCGCTTCCGAATCAGAACAGCCTCAGGAATTGGGCTGATCACTATCTTCCAACGTCGCCACGAGATAGCGGTTCTTCGCAAGGCACTTCAACCGAGAGAAGGAGTAGCACGTCGGGACGATCCATCTCTTTTTCACCATTTGTCGTGGTATTGGATCGAGACTCGCCTCCAAGTGAATCCGATGAAGATTCAGATGAAGAGTTTCACGACGTTCCAACTCCCCCCTCTTCACATGAGACGCCAGACACCGTCCAGATAAGCCCTGTCAACACGTTTGTGGGCGACAGTGGCGGAAAGGACGACGGTTCCGCACAAATTTTGGCGAGATCCTCGTCTTCAAACAGTTCTCGCAGTCGAAACAACTCAGACGAGCAGTTCTACGATGCAGCTGACGCGGTCGCCGCTGGTACGAGTGACGGTGATAGCGACGCTGATGGCTCATATGGAGTGCAGGGAAAACCGTAAGTGGATGTTCATGTTCAGGGTTGATGTTGATTTGAACCTTTTCTAACCGTCTCGTCTCTTCACCTTGAAGTTCCATCACTTCATCGGTTGCCAGCATGTTGGGGGTACCACAAGAAATGAGTACCTGTAGTGAAGGACTTCTAAGCGGCCAGGGTGCTGCCAGTCCCTCCGGTCTTGCCTCACCACAAGATCAGGCAATCCCATTCGGAAAGAGAGCTTCTTTTGATATGGAGGATTCAAGCATTGATCGCTCAACCGAAGCCCAACCAAGTGTCGATGGGGAACCGCGAAGATCTCTGAATTGGACTGACTTTGTGAAGGGCTTTGTAGCTACAGCTTCCTCGTCCTCAATGGACAAGTCGGCGGATGGGTCTGACACGGACAAGATTTCTAAGAAGGAGGCACTGGGCGATGACGGTTCAAAAAGCATGGAAAGCCTCGTTCTCGAAGACGACACTCCAAGTGACTCGGAAGAAGATATCAGCATTGAGAAACCGGATGAGACTCGGAGCAGCTTGCTTTTCTCTGGCGCTTCGGCCATCGTAGTGTCTGGATTTGAAAAGGCTACTTCTTTCGGCCCTCGAATGTTTGGGCGTGCAGACGAAACCGTCGCATCAGACGCTGATACTGCGGTCGGCGAGCCACTGCAAACGCAAGAATTGGTCGTGCAATCCAGCTCGCCGGAGATCAAGGCCAAAAATGTGCTTCTCGCGAGATCGACAGCAGAGCGACGCACTCGATCAAATAAAACAACACAAGTAATGGCTTCTCACGCTGCTCAGGCGGCCGCAGGTGCTGCGTCCGCTGGGACATTGTCGGCTACGGGTTCTTCTGGAAAGAAATCGGTGAATTCAGAAGTTTCTTCCATTGGGGTGCAAGTCGGAGTTGCAATCGGATTGGTTGCTGTTGTGATATTTGGCGTATCAAGTGGTATTGCGATTGCGATTGGTTCGTCGTCTCCTGTGCCTGATGCCGCGCTGGTAGCCTGTGGCGAACACGCCGAGAGAAAGCAAGGGAGACTATCGCTGATTTTTGAAAATGTCCCTGCCGCAGTCCTCAGGAAGGAGCGCCGAACGATACAGGACGTGTTCCTGGCATCTTACAACAATGCCTCGGGAATGTGCGAAGGTTTGTTTGAAAGAATCATGGTAGATGCTACAATGGTTGATTGGAGAGATGTGGCTCCGAATGCTCCTATGATTGCAACAAGTTGGGTGTGCAGAGTGAATTGCACCGGTTGCCCAGACAACGAACCACTGTTTTCGGATGGACTCGAAGGCAGAAGACTGGAAGCTGACTCGCGTTTCGTTTACGACTACACTGGGTCAAACGATTTTTTCTCCAGGTTTACCCAAATTTTGAATTCGAACATGCTGACCTTTCTCAACCTCTCTAATTTTGCGGCTGTAATTTCAATTGACATGGAGACCGGCCAACAGGACCAGATTATGACTTTCGTTGACGGCACGGACAGCTCCTCCACCAGTCCAACCAGCTTCCGTCCTCTTGGTGATGTTGAAGCGTCGGTATCGCCAAGCGTGACCCCAGCTGACTACCCTGCACCGTCAACAACTCCAGCATCGCCGCCATCAACCCCGACTGGATACTATCCGAGCGCGAAGCCCTTAGCAGACTACGACTACCCCACACGACTGCCGTCGCCAACTTCATTTCCTACCGGTATCGCGATTTCAACTTCGGCGCCGTCAAGATGGAATCAACTGACGCCTTCTCCATCACAAGATTTTTCGAGCCCAGCCCCCCAGGACATCCCTTCGCAATCACCGGCAGAATCAATGCAGCCAACTTCGCCTTCCCTACAAACTATGTTCCCATCCGAAATACCTTCGTACAGACCATCTGCTGGGTTCCGATTGCAAACATTGTTTTTCACGGAAATCCCAACTAGCACGCCAGGACAAACCGCCGACCCAGCCAACACCGTAAGCCCTACATCGGAGCAAACAACGTCGCCCACCACTTCCATATCGAATAACCAATCACCTACGGACTCCCCTGTGGCACCATCAACAGGAACGCCCCCGGTTGCAGACCCGTCAGATGCCAACACTTTAGGCCCAACAATCACCGAAAGCCCCACATTGGAACAATCAACAAGCGAACCCGGCGTTCCCACATTCACCAACGAGCCACCAACAGAATCACCTGTGGTGCCAACAATTGCAACGCCTCCGGTCGCCGAACCATCAGCCACCACCTCATTGGAGCCAACAAGAGACTCAATGACGCCAGAACCTACGATAGGCCCATCTACACAAAGCGTATCAGCTGAACCATCCACAACGGAACCAACGTCCGAGAATGTCACTAATGAACCCACCCATGCCCCAACACTTGTTCCAACCTTAACACCAACAATTGAACCAACTGTTGCCCCCACGTTGGATCCCACCAGTGCACCAACGTCATCTCCAACAGCTATGCCAACTGGATTGCCCACGATTGATCCAACCGACAACCCAACCAACTTACCTACTCTTGCAACACCATTTCCCTCTCCTGCAACACCACTTCCAACTGCAGAAGATGGTGTTGTGGTAACTACAAGGAACCCAACCAGCCCACCCACGCTCCCCCCAACCACTGCTCCTACAGCACCACCCACAAACCCACCTACAAACCCTCCAACAGCACCACCAACAAGTGTTCCAACAGCTCCTCCCACAAACCAGCCAACAAATCTTCCTACATCTCCTCCCACCAACCAGCCAACTAATCCTCCTACAGCTCCTCCAACTGTGACTGCTGGAGAGCCTTCAGCAAGCCCCACAACCAGAACTCCAACCTCCAGTCCGACCAATGCTCCCACAGAACCCCCCACAGCCCCCCCAACCAATGCTCCTACATCGCCTCCAACGAATCAGCCAACTAACCCCCCAACATCTCCTCCAACTGATCAGCCAACCAATCCTCCGACATCTCCTCCCACCAACCAGCCAACTAACCCCTACATCCCCTCCCACCAACCAGCCAACTAATCCTCCTACAGCTCCTCCAACCGTGACTGCTGGAGAGCCATCAGCAAGCCCCACAACCACAACTCCAACATCCAGTCCGACCAATGCTCCCACAGAACCCCCCACAGCCCCCCCAACCAATGCTCCCACATCTCCTCCAACGAATCAGCCAACTGATCAGCCAACAAATCCTCCAACAGCACCACCAACAAGTGTTCCAACAGCTCCTCCCACAAACCAGCCAACAAATCTTCCTACATCTCCTCCCACCAACCAGCCAACTAATCCTCCTACAGCTCCTCCAACTGTGACTGCTGGAGAGCCTTCAGCAAGCCCCACAACCAGAACTCCAACCTCCAGTCCGACCAATGCTCCCACAGAACCCCCCACAGCCCCCCCAACCAATGCTCCTACATCGCCTCCAACGATCAGCCAACTAATCCTCCTACATCTCCTCCCACTAACCAGCCAACTAGTCCTCCCACATCTCCTCCCACCAACCAGCCAACTATTCCTCCTACATCTCCTCCCACCAACCAGCCAACTATCCTCCTACAGCTCCTCCAACCGTGACTGCTGGAGAGCCTTCAGCAAGCCCCACAACCAGAACTCCAACCTCCAGTCCGACCAATGCTCCCACAGAGCCCCCTACAGCCCCTCACCAATGCTCCTACATCTCCTCCCACAACCAGCCAACTAACCCCTACATCTCCTCCCACCAACCAGCCGCTAATCCTCCTACAGCTCCTCCCACTAACCAGCCAACAATCTCCAACAGCACCTCCCACTAACCAGCCAACTAATCCTCCTACATCTCCTCCCACCAACCAGCCAACCAATCCTCCCACCTCTCCTCCAACAACCAGCCAACCATGCCTCCCACAGCTTCTCCAACTTATCCTCCTACATCTCCTCCAACAGCCGCCCCAACTAATCCTCCTACATCTCCTCCCACCAACCGGCCAACTAATCCTCCTACAGCTCCTCCAACTGTGACTGCTGGAGAGCCATCAGCGAGCCCCACAACAAGCACTCCAACCTCCAGTCCGACCAATCCCCCCACAGCCCCACCAACCAATCATCCCACAGCACCTCCCACAAGTCCACCTACAGCACTGCCTACAGATCCTCCCACTTCCCCACCATCAAACCCCCCCACATCTCCACCAACCAATGCTCCTACAGCACCACCACCAACAAATCCGCCAACAACACCGCCCACCAACTCTCCCACGGACCCTCCCACTTCACCACCATCAAACCCTCCCACAGCCCCTCCCACCAATAATCCTACAGCACCACCGACAAATCCACCAACACCACCACCCACGAACCCTCCCACAGCTCCACCAACCAATGCTCCCACTTTGCCCCCAACAGATATACCGACATCGTCTCCAACAAGTTCTCCCACAGAACCTCCAAGCAATCCACCCACAGATTTACCAACCAATGCACCAACTCCTCATCATTGCTGCAGTGTTTTGACATCCTCCTATGATGGGGACTTTTCCCCTGGAGGAATTGCCTGTTTACCAAACGAGGAAAACTGTTGCAAAGTCTGCCAGTCAAACTGTTGTGTTGAAATTACCAGTGATCATGATGGTGACTTCGTTCAGTTTGGGAAGGTGTGTCTTCCCGGTGGATCAAACTGTTGTGTGATATGTGACGAAATTGGCATGCCATCAAAGGCCCCGTCGAGTTTCCCAAGCACGACTCCAACTGTACCGCCTTCACCAAGTCCCACTATTCCCCCAACGAACCACCCTACTTTGTCCCCCACCCAACCTCCTACAGCCCCACCAACAGAGCCTCCCACACCTCCCCCCACCAACCATCCTACAGCTCCACCAACCAATGCCCCTACAGCACCTCCAACAACACCACCCACGAACCCTCCCACTTTGCCACCATCAAACCCTCCTACAGCACCTCCCACAAATCATCCCACAACTCCACCAACCAATGCTCCTACAGTCCCACCAACAAATCAGCCCACAATGCCACCAACAAATCCACCTACCCAGTCTCCTACGAATCATCCCACAGTCCCACCGACGAATCCTCCAACTGCACCCCCCACGAATCACCCCACAGCTCCACCAACAACACAGCCTACCAACTCTCCCACCAATGCCCCTACAGCCCCTCCAACGACAACGGCTCCCCCCACCAACCACCCAACTGGATCACCAACTGACCCTCCCACGGGGCCACCAACAAATAGTCCTACAGAACCCCCCACAAACCCTCCGACAGAACCACCAACCAGTGTTCCCACATTTCCACCCACTGGTGCTCCAACCATACCGCCAACAAATGCACCCACAGCACACAGTTGCTGCAATACTTTGTCATCAGCACATGAGGGAGATGATCAGGGAGACTTTGTTATTGGTGAAATCTCATGTTTATCAGACCAGAGCAGCTGTTGTAGAATATGTCAATCAAACTGCTGCGAAACAGTTCCCTCAGATTTTGTTGGTGACTTCAGCTTGTTTGGCAAGGTCTGCCAACCAGATGGAAATTTCTGTTGTTTGATGTGTGCAACTAGTGGGGGAGGGTTGGTCACTGACCCTCCCACAGAACGTCCCACCAGCACACCTACAGGACCACCAACAAATAGTCCTACAGAACCCCCCACCAACCCTCTGACAGAACCACCAACCAGTGCTCCCACATTGCCCCCCACTGGTGCTCCAACCATACCACCAACCTTACCGCCAACAAATGCACCCACAGCACACATCTGCTGCAATACTTTGTCATCTGCACATGAGGGAGACGATCAGGGAGACTTTGTTATTGGTGAAATCTCATGTTTATCTGACCAGAGCAGCTGTTGTAGAATATGTCAATCAAACTGCTGTGAAACAGTTCCCTCAGATTTTGTTGGTGACTTCAGCTTGTTTGGCAAGGTCTGCCAACCAGATGGAAATTTCTGTTGTTTGATGTGTGCAACTAGTCCTCCAACACAGCCTCCGACCAACACGCCCACCGAACCACCAAGTTTCCCCCCAACAGTCCCAGACCCCGCAGGAAGAACAATTACAGCTGTGCCATCTAGCTCCCCATCCAGGGCCCCTACTAGTGCAGCTTACATTACAAGCTGGCATTTAGTAGACACAGATACTGATGACGACATCATGGAAGTTCACAGCGGAGACGAATTACACCTTGCCTTGCTTCCAGCGCATTTGTCTCTTCGTGCTGAGACTATGCCCAAATATGTTTCTGAGGTCAATTTCTATGTGAATGGTAGCTTCTACATGGATCAGCAATACTATCCGTACAGCCTTGGCAATGATTATGCTGGAAACTACTTTCTTACAGATGTTCTGACAACCCCTTCTTCAGTGTCCATAAGGGCTGATCCTTACACAGGTGGCGTAATGGGGGTTGGGCAGCTGGGAACATCTGGGCATCTGAACCTTGTCATCATCAACAGCCCTCCCACAGCTTCGCCAACAGATCCTCCCACCTATCCCCCAACGAACCCTCCCACAGAAACTCCATCCAATCCTCCTACAGAACCCCCAACTAATCCACCTACTGAATCACCAACTGGTCCACCTTCTGAATCTCCAACAAATCCTCCAACCGACGCTTCCACTGGCCCTCCAACCAATCCCCCAACTGACGCTCCCACTAGGCCCCCAACATCACCTCCTACAAATCCTCCAACAGATGCTTCCACAGCTTACGTTGAAAGCTGGCATTTGGTTGATGCTGACACTGATGATGACATCGGGGAAGTGCGCAGTGGAGACACATTAAACCTTGCCTTGCTTCCACCCACTCTGTCTATTCGTGCTGAGACTATGCCCAAATATGTTTCCGAGGTCAATTTCTATGTGGGTGGTAGCTTCTACAAGGATCAGCAATACTACCCATACAGCCTTGGTGGTGATAGTGCTGGAAACTACTTTCTTGCAGATGTTCTGACGACCCCTTCTTCAGTGTCCATAAGGGCTGATCCTTACACAGGTGGTGTAATGGGGGTTGGGCAGCTGGGAACATCTGGGCATCTGAACCTTGTCATCATCAACAGCCCTCCCACAGCTTCGCCAACAGATCCTCCCACCTATCCCCCAACGAACCCTCCCACAGAAACTCCATCCAATCCTCCTACAGAACCCCCAACTAATCCACCTACTGAATCACCAACTGGTCCACCTACTGAATCTCCAACTAATCCTCCAACCGATGCTTCCACAAGCCCCCCAACAGATCCTCCAACTCTCGCTCCCACTATTCCCCCAACAGATCCTCCAACCAACCATCCAACTGTCGCTCCCACTAGCCCTCCAACCAATCCCCCAACTGACGCTCCCACTAGGCCCCCAACATCACCTCCAACAGATGCTTCCACGGCTTACGTTGAAAGCTGGCATTTGGTTGATGCTGACACTGATGATGACATCGGGGAAGTGCGCAGTGGAGACACATTAAACCTTGCCTTGCTTCCACCCACTCTGTCTATTCGTGCTGAGACTATGCCCAAATATGTTTCCGAGGTCAATTTCTACGTGGGTGGTAGCTTCTACATGGATCAGCAATACTACCCATACAGCCTTGGCAATGATCGTAGTGGAGACTACTTTCTTGCAGATGTTCTGACGACCCCTTCTTCAGTGTCCATAAGGGCTGATCCTTACACAGGTGGCGTAATGGGGGTTGGACAGCTGGGAACATCTGGGCACCTGAACCTTGTCATCATCAACAGCCCCCCCACAGCTTCTCCCACCGAAGCTCCCACCGAAGCTCCAACAAATCCACCAACAGAAAGTCCTACAAACCATCCTACTGAAACTCCCACTGAATCACCGACCGAAACTCCCACTGAATCACCAACCGAAGCTCCCACTCAATCACCAACCGAAGCTCCCACTCAATCACCAACCGAAGCTCCCACTGAAACACCAACCGAATCTCCCACCCAATCACCAACCGACTCTCCCACTGAATCACCAACCGAATCTCCCACCCAATCACCAACCAAAGAGCCCACTGAAAATCCTACCCCAAGTCCGACTGATGCTCCCACTCCAGCCCCAACTGAAGGCTGTTGCAACGAGCTCAGCGATGATTTTGTATCAGGAGAGTTCCGTGTTTATGGAAGCATCTGCAACGGAGATGGTGATTGCTGTCTGGTTTGTCCCAATCATTGTTGTACAAGCTTGCCATCAGAGCCCGGCCATGTAGTCGGTGATATCATCCCCTCGCCGGACGACAGTGATGCGTGGTGCTTGATCTGTAATTACTGAGTACCTGTCAATATTATTGTAAAGTATAGCTCTCTTTGGCATGTCCACTTTTGGATGGTTGGATGGTACTAAAGGAGTGTGATAATCTATGGTGATTCCTTTAGAGCTGTAATGGTTGCAGCTTGTTCACCAAAGCGAATTTGTTCATATGATTCTGCATCTGCATGGTAGAAGCGCAACAACGCAGGTTTGCCGAACCGAAAAGGTTAGCTGGCTGTTTCTTGCTGGCACGTTACGGATTGTAGCCACAAGCTTGTGCATCGCACATGACAATACCACAAAGCAGATTGCACTGCCGATAGCTAGCTAGCTACTCTTGGCTGCTACGTTCTTTTGCTGCTGTGAATTCAATGACACTGTGTTAGAGCGCAGCATGGCTGTGCAGGAGGTCCATGGCTGGCTGTTGCGTGCCTTTTTCAGGAGCTGCGCTTCCCCGTGCTGTCCTGCGAACGCACGGTTTAAATAATAGTGTACGCCGCGGCGATGTTCTGGCTGGTGGCCAGAAACCAAGGGGAAGTTTATCTCGAGTAGATAACTAGCTACTCTAGCTAGAATCAATCAGTTCTTAAAAGTCGTCTTTGAGGCTGCGCCCCACGGCATCACGATTCGGTAGCATCACGACGACGCTGGAGGCAGGATCGGCCCCGAAAATTTCTTGGTGTTGGAGCGTTGGAACAGCGGCTTGGAAAAGAAACTGCATTGGGCATGAGAGCTCGGACGCACATTTATTCTACCGTGTATGAGCAAAAAAGCAAAAGCAAGCTACTGCTGGAACGGTACGTACGTACTACTACTAGCTAGTACCGTACCTACAGTACTAAATACCACAGGTGGACTGGCTAGTAGCTCTAGCTAGAGAAAGCCAGCAAGAGTTCAGGTCCATGTATCACGTGCTCGTAGCAGTACCGGTACCACCGGTACATACTACCGTACCAGGGCAGTCCAGCAATTCGCATGTTCTCCATTTTGCTGAATGACCAGGTACAATAGAGCCACAGTATGATAGTTCAGGTCTGGCTGGGAGAGGCAGCAATGTCATTCTGGTGGCGGGGTCATGATAACAGACTCAGTGCTGGTAGATGAAAGACTTTTTCGTTGGTTACATACTAGTACACAGCAAACCCACCATCCTTTCCCTGCTTGGTGCTAGCTACTTCGGGGTCGTTTCCTGCCGTCTCTTGGTGGGTTGGTTCGTCTCCGAGGAAGGCCTCGCAAGCAAGCAAGATGTGCTGACCCTTTTGGCGTGTTAGCTTTGCAAAGACGGGAAAAAGCAGGAGCAATCTAAACAGCAATCGTAGCGGTACACACAGCTTTAACGCGAAGTGTATGGTTAATTCCACGAAAAATGCCGCATTTAAGACTTATCTAGATGGGGTCGTATGTGGAGAAGGCGATGGAAGAGCTCATCTCGCTTTTTGAACCATCCAACGTCTCTACTCTGTCAAGTCATTATGCTTCAGTATATTTTTTTAGCTGGGTTGGGTCTTTGTTTGCTCTTCGGAATATGTGTTGCATTTGAATGAATTGGACGATTTGGTGGATAGTGAAGGAAAGAATGGTCTGTCTTTGTTGTTTGTTAAGAATGGTAGCATTGTCAAATTGAAAATTTGGGTCGTTTCTTGCTTCCAAAATCTGCATTTCTCTGTTTCACCTTACTAAATCTTCCTCCAGTGATGTCGTCTGACAATTTCGGCCAACGCGGCCAGCTACTTAGACAACTTTCATGGCTTCCACCCAGCCAACCACATGCACGGCCACCAAACTGGAAATAATAGCCAGCAGGTTCGTGTTGAGAAGAGAATCCATTTTCTCGTCTTCCCATGGACAGTAGTGCTTTCCTCCGATCGATCGCGGCAAATTGCAAGACACGGGTTCGCTAGCTAGTTACTGTTCGTATAGTTGTTGTGCACTCCAGTTTACTTGTTGTTGTTGATTGCAAAGAAGCAATAACCAGGTTGACATACATTACAGTACTGTAGTTGTCAAGATTTCCCGAGCTGAACAGTCCAGACACGCTAGTCTTGTCACTTATAGCAGTTGAGCCAAAGCTGAGCTTCTCGAATACTTGTTCATCAAGCACACAATTTGAACTCTTTCTTGATATTGTTCCGCTACTACCACTACCCAGTTGAGCAAACAAACCACAGCACAGCACCCTACCTGATCCCAATCCAACCCATTCAACCGCCAATACTTCCTTTTTTCGTTACACAACAACTACTACTACAATCATGATGCTAGGACCCAAGGCTCTGCTCCGTCAGCGCATGATGGACGGCAACAAGCTGGCTCGTCTTTCCTCTGATGGAGTTCCTGCTTGTGTCGAGGCTTCTTCGCAGTCTACCGATCCAGCATCGGATCAAGACTCGGACGATGAGTTCATCCATGAATCGTCTTCCTATGCTTACGACGAGAAGTGCTTGGGAAAAGATCCCTACGCCGATGTGCGCGAACGCATGGAACGATTGGCCGCCAACGATCGTGCCCTTCACGCTACGCATACCATCAAGGGGAGCACCAAGTCTCACGAAGAAGAACTCTCCATCCCCGCCTTGACGGCCATGTCGACCTACTTGGCCTACACTGTCTTGATCATGTGTGGACGCATTCGGGATCTGTTGGCGTCCATCTTTGGAGGACGATACATTCGCCAACCATCCAAAACCAACCCTGTTCCGAGTGACAATAGGACTTTCTTTGCTCCCATTGTCAAGAGTTGGGAACACTTCTACACCCGTCGTCTTTACCATAGGATTCAGGATTGCTGGAATAGACCCATCGCTTCCAACCCCGGTGCTCACATTGAAGTCTTGGAGCGAGTCAGTACGGACAGTCAAAAGTCCATGAAGTTGGTAGGACCCATTGACAGTATTCCCGATGAACGCACTCGCAACGAGTACACCGAAGGCGAGTTCTACACCGAGGCACACAATGGTGCCGTGGCGAGAAAGTGTCTCAACTTGGGCAGTTACAACTACCTAGGATTCGCTGATGACTGGAAGAATACCTGCCAGGATGAAGTCATGGGATCTTTGGAAAAGTTCCCCGTCAGTGCCCAGGCGTCGCGCAATGAGATGGGAACCACTGCCTTGCACCGAGAGTTGGAAACCACCGTCGCCAACTTTTTGAGAAAGGATGACGCCCTAGTCTTGACCATGGGATTCAATACCAATGCCACAACCATTCCTGCGCTCATGGGACGAGGTGACTTGATTATCTCGGATGAACTCAACCACACCAGTATCGTCAACGGTGCACGTGCTTCCGGCGCTGCCATTCGTATCTTTCGTCACAATGATATCGCTCACTTGGAAGAGACCATTCGAGAAGCCATTGTCCTGGGACGTCCTCGTACCAGGCGTCCTTGGAACAAGATCATGGTCATTGTGGAAGGAGTCTACTCGATGGAGGGTGAATACTGTGACTTGAAGAATGTTGTCAAGGTGTGCAAGAAATATGGAGCCTACGTTTACCTCGATGAAGCTCATTCCATTGGAGCCATGGGACGCACTGGACGTGGATGCGCCGAGTACACTGGAGTCAACACTGCCGATGTCGACATTATGATGGGAACCTTCACCAAGAGCTTTGGTGGTATGGGAGGGTACATTGCTGCCAGTAAGGAAGTCATTGCCCACCTCCGATGGAAGTGTGCGGGAAGCTCGTGTCACAACTCCTTGAGCCCTATCGTCTGCCAACAGGTTATTACTGCTTTCAGGGTAAGTGGTCTTGTTTCAAACAAGAAAGCGTATCAATCATTGTTGCCGCAATGGAACCTAACAACTTGTTTTCTTTATCCTTTTGAACTAACAGGTGATGCAGGGCCAAGACGGAACCAATCTCGGCAAGAAGAAGTTCCAAGACTTGAGGGACAACTCCAACTATTTCAGAATGCGTCTCAACGAAATGGGGCTGTTGACGCTAGGTCGCTATGATTCTCCCATCATGCCAGTGATGTTGTACATTCCCACCAAGATTGCAGCGTTTTCAAGAGAATGCTACAAGAGAGGTCTTGCAACTGTGGTGGTTGGATTTCCTGCCGTACCATTGCTCATGGCGCGAGCACGCTTCTGCATCTCGGCAGCACATACACGAGAAGATCTTGATATGGCCCTCAACGAGCTCGAGGAAATAGCCGACATACTTCAATTGAGGTATGCTCGGTCGCCCTTCTCCAGCTAGCGAGCGACTTGATCTTGAGGATCGCTGGCTTGCTTGTCCTTTTGACCGTACCGCATTATTGGAGTAAGAGTTGCTCTTTCTGCTCCTCGTCTCTTTGTGATCGATGTCTTGTGTTCCGCCCGTCGCAGTCAACAAACGCACACCGCACCACTCACTCACTGCATAGATAACTGTTTAGTAGCTGATTCGATTCGGCTGAACCTAAGATCTCGTACCACTAGCTACCGGTACTGTAGCGGGTGCAGCCATGTAGTACGGTAGTTGCGCTTGTCCCTTGTTGGGACAGCGGGGTGGGTGTTCAATCCCTCGACCTCGTGAGCGGCGTGTGCGCAAGCCAGCACGGATTTAGGGTTCTCGAACAGATGGCCGGAGCTTCCGGGTGGGGTTGAGTCGTCGAGTGTGAGTCGACTGCAGCTCCTTTGGTGGGTCTTGTTGCCATTTTCGGAGCTCAGGGTAGCATCAACTCTCAGCTCAGTTCAGTGCTTCGCAGCATTTTCTAGCTAGGTACCGGTACGTAGAACCTCGCCCAAAATATTCAGCATAGTCCAGTTGCATCATTGGTCACGATAAATACCAATCAACCTGCTTTAGCACAAGATTGCTTGCATTCCTTGTAGCATAGCTAGATTTTGGCAAGCTCAGTCCTTGAACGGTAGATCTCATGAAAATCAATCAAAACATGATGCTCTAGCTAGCTAGAAAGCGCTTCTGCATACTGCATACCAGGTACATGTAGCAAGTGCCCTACTACCAGGTACTGGTAGCCGTCGCCTTAGCCTCTTCGCCTCACCGCCTGCCATTCACCAGTTCTCCTACGGAACTTTGGTACTGATACCACATTCGACCAAGTCCTCACCGTGAATACCGCTCGAGTACACAAATTTCAAGAGTAGTATGTCCTTTGTTTAAGGCACTGATTTGGCCACGTTCTCTTTCGTAGTGTTTTTGATCATTACTTAGACATGCATCTCAACATATTTACTTGAAGTCATTGCAACGTACAGTAGTGCAATTTTGTATAGTAAGCATTTTCCAAACCGGTTCACTATGCAAATGATTAGTACACGGCTTGAATCAAAAGTTTCGATTGGGTACATGCTTTAGCCAGGGCTTTTTTTGAAAACTCCCCATGCCTCAGTTCTTGCGATGTTGGAAGAAGTGAAGTCTTCTGAGATTCTGGCCAAGGGTTGCCTATAATGGAGGTGGAGAGAGGAAACTTCCTTTGGGTTGGAATATGCAGCCGCAGGTGTGGAGCATGCTACCGGTATCACCTGTGCCTTGCAGATTGGCTTGGTTTCCACGGTTTTGCTTTGGGTAGCTAACCAAACTGGTTTCACTGATTGATTCAACATTGAGCAACAAGCAATGGCTGTACACGTGCAGCAACAGCTCTCCCAGGGATGGTGGCGAGTGAGAAGGATAATGTGTAGCTACAGACAGCTCTAGCGACACCCGGTCCTGAACCTTGCCTTCTGATGAGGGACATCAACTAACTAGTTCTCTCAAGAAAAGATACCGTACTAGCATGCTTTGGTGACGTATTGTTGTCATGGAGACTTTGTAGAGGAGAGATACCAGCAATTGTATCCCTGTTTGCTTGTCGAGGATCTATTATCGACGAGGTGCCGGGCTCTAGCTAGGATCCTCACATCTTGGGATCAACAGAACGGCTGCTACTACTAGTACCGGTAGCTATGACATAGTATCAAGCTTTTTGGTCTCGGATCAAGCACTGCGTGGTGTTACTGTACAGTAGCGCAGATAGCTACATGTATGCATAGTCGAGTCTTAACTAGCTAGGATGCATGTGCATAGTTTCTTCTGAATGACACAACAGTTCAAATTATGGTGTACGTGTTAGCATTGATTCAGAAGGATGCAGAAAGCCCCAGCTATTTCTTTGTCTTGGCGGATTTCTCAGATCATAGCGAACCTACCATAAAGTGGTCTACGGCTTTACGGTACGTTACGTAGCTCCAGTACCATACTTTGATCATCGCGGAACTTTGTTAGGAGGCAGCGATCGATTTGACGAGGCAACACTTCTCACCACACAGAGAGAGCAGCAACACCTTTGTTGGCTGCTTTGGGTAGGCTACTATCCTTCACGATAGCTGAGTAGCCAATTTAGCACTTGCAGACAACGATAGAATTGACCTTTGAAGAGCTTTGAACAGAGTTATCTTTCAGATCAGAGGAGAGGCGGTTCCTCTGCTGGAAAAGCCATGTCATCGGGCGGTACGTCTCCCTTAACCGTGTTGTTATCATATCTGCCGTTCGCGTGAAACCTTGGTTGCCAGCACCATGCACCGTGTCAACGCTCTCTTGGGGTGTGCACGACAATGGGTATAACCTGTTGAATGGGTATTGTTCCGGTTAATGCATTGCTGGCTATTTGCACGGTTGATGGCATTATCCGGATTGGATTCGTGTCGTATCGTATGATACCATACCATTAATTCATTATTGACGAACGATCAGATAGATGCTGCACTGTGGACTCATACACCGTTGTCTTGCTTTCTCGCTTCCCAACAGGCATGTATCCGGAAAGCCCCTCCTTCAAGGAGGCTTTGAGGTGGGTTCAGATTGATCAATATATGGCAGGGCAGTACGACTGTATTCGAGTTGTCACAAAGACAGACCGACTGACAATCGCTTCGTTCCTTTTTTCTGCCGTCTCCTCTCCCTTTTGGTACTAAAGACAAGCAAGGGAACGCGCTGCAGCCGTCAACCGTGCAAGGTCCCAGCAAACGTCCACGGCTCCTGACCCACCCGAGTCTGGAGCTCCTCGTGGCGCCAAAGCCGCCAACAATAACAAGGCTAAGGAGGTAAGGGCACTTCTTTCTCGACCCAAAGCTCTTCTGTGGGCTCCACTTGCATGCAACAATGGCTGATCTCGGTATCCTTTCTTGTTATCTCTGTCTGGCAAAAGCGTCGGGGCCTCATTAGTGCGACAAATGCAAGGTCCAATCAGCAGCAACCCACACCCCCACAACCAGACCGTGTATCCGAACGGACTGCCGCGGTGGCGGCGGCTCCTGCTGGAACACAACAGCAGCAGCAGCAACAACAAGCTGCAGCGGCGGCAGCACTCTATCATCACTTGCCAATTCAGGGCCAATTGGGTGCCATGGCGGCGCATGGGCGACCGCCGACGCTGTTTGAGAGGCTTCGCCTCAGGGATTTGCAAAACCAAATGGCACTGCGACAACATGAGCAGGCGGCTCTTTACGGGGCAACTATTTCGGGACGCCCTCCTCCTGGAGTTCATTGGGGTGCTCATGCACCAGGCGTACTCACGGCTGCAGCTGAGGAAAGGTGGAGGGTAGCACAAGGACTTCCCGGGGCGTTTGCAGCTGGAAGGGGTGGGTTGCACCCTTCGGTTGCCGCTCATCCCCTCGGTGCACAAATTCTGGCCAACCTTCAGCAGCAGGCACAACCTGCCGTTATGCCGACAGAGGGAATGGAAACGGAAGAAACTGAAACGAATAAGTCTGATACCTCTCCACCAGATAATGCAGGCAAAGAGGCAAGAGCTGCCGCCAATCATCCGGTGGCTGCCGTAGGAAGGGCTGCTGCGGCAGATGCTACAGGCTCGTCTGCCTTGTTCGACTTGCTTGCAACGGCTGCAGAGGACACTCTCAAGCGAGAAGAGGAGAAAAAGAAGATGGCCACCGGGGGCGAAGATCCGGACGGAGATGATGGGCACAAACCCTCGGGTAGAGAGCACTCAGGGCACGGGGGTGACAAGAAGGGAGTTCCCAAGATGATTGCGGTTTCCACTACAACAGGAGGTGGAAAGAATGCCAAACGAAAGCGGAAGGCTGCCAACGAACCTAAGAATCCACTGGGGGCCTTTGTCTGTAAGTCAGGGCACTTACTTGATTTGCCTCGTGAGTGTTTCTCGTGATGTTTGCACCTGATTCTTTATGTTGTTGTTGTTTCAGTCTACCAACGGAAGATCATGTGCGAAGTGTTTGAAGAGAATCCATGCATTACCTTTGGTGAGGCGGCTGCTGAATGCGGTAGACGTTGGCGAGGTTTGCCGGATGAAGAGAAAGTGGAATACAAGGAGATGGCTGCCCGAGACAAGGCAAGGTACACCAGAGAACTGGCAACTTTCAAAAACAAAGGTGACGACGTTGTCGAGGTCCCCGTGAAAGCCACCAAGCCACCTGTGAAGAAGAAGAAAACTGGAGGCGATGGCGACGCCAAGCGCGCGAAAAGTGCTTTTCAGTGAGTGGCTACTTCTACCCCCTTGTGCATATTATGATTTCATCGTTTGGCTCATTGCTGCGTCCTTTAAATCACACTGCAGGTTCTACAAGGCTGAAGAGATGGCGATGGTCAAGAAAGAATTTCCTAATGTAACAAATGCGGAAGCCTCTACTGAATGCTCGGCGAGATATAAGGCGCTGACAAAGATTCAGAAGGAGAAATATGAACGACTGGCTGCCGCAGATAGGGCGCGCTGTAAGAAGGTAATCGTTGAACCGGGTGAACAGGTTGCCAAAGATCCCGATGTCACAGTGAAGTCGAGTGAAGGAATTGAAGCCGCTCAAGCTCCCGAAGGTCCCCCAGCTGGCTTGAACGCAGAAGAAGACCCGGAGAAAAAGGAGAAGGTAACCAAGCCAAAGCCTGCTCCTCGGGTGCGGGCAAAACCGACAATCAAGTACACTGACATGGTTGATCCCAACAAGTTTTATGTGGAAGAGCACGCATGGAGATATCACAATCCTCCAATGGCTCCTCCAAAAGAAAACGACAAGCATGAGAACATTTTTGAGGCAGTCAGCCCCGAGAACTTGCGCCCATTGCCTCCTCCACCACCCCCTCCGACGAATTTCCCAAACACCGGTTACTGCACCTGGTCATATGACTACGACACGAGGGTTCTTCATGCAGACTTCCGCAGGAGTGACGGGCCACCTGTCGTAACTTACGAAGATGAGAAGTACATGTTGAATATGTTTGAAAGGGACGATGTGACGGTTGTCTCGGAAGGTCTGGTTTGCGGACTGGACGCGCACAAATGGAATCTCGATTATCTGAGTAGAGTGGCAGGTGACGAGTATTACCATCGCTTTCGTAGGTTCGATAAAGAGGACCCAGAAAAAATGCCTTCAAAGCCGAAGAAGAAGCTTAGTCCCAAGGATCCAGGCGAGGGTGAAGAAACAGAAGATTTCGAGGGGGGTGCTCATGCGGAAATTGACAGGTGCCTTTCAATGAAGGTTTCCGACTTTGTTCGCTACGTTCGTCAGCGTGGGACAGCGCTGGCAGTGCTGGATGCTGTGACATCCTCGGAGGAGATTGAAGAAGACGGTCTATGCCATTTTTCTTGGTCTGTACGTCTTGCTCGTCGTTCGGTAGGTTGTTCGAGTCTTCATCAATTGATCAACTCACTCTTTGCGCTGCTGGATGATTGCATCGCGCATTCAACTTTAGGATCACAACGGGGAAGAGCAGTCAGTTGATGTGTCAAAAACGGTTTTGTACATGGTAAGTGTTCCTTTTGTTCGCTTAACATTGCTCTGCTATCGGTGTCTAACAGTATTGTATTATCTCGCTACTCAGATCGATTATGACATGGCGAAACTCCTGCCCACTCTCTACGAAGACTTCAAAGCTTGCTATGCCCTCGGAGATGCAGTGCTTCCTGGTGGTTCCCACTGCATGATGAATTGCGTGAACCAAAATGGAAGGCCTGATCTCGGGCCAAATATCTATATTACTCCACCTGGTTCTTTCACTCACTTTCATCAGGACGGGCATGGAACTGTGGACTCGGGGCATTACTGCCTTAGTGGGTTCAACGAGGTAGTCATGACACGGAGATTGACTGAACGCGCTAAGCGCCATGCCTTGAACCTCCTTACTGGTAGCTACAAGAGAAAAAGAGGGCCTTCCTTTGAAGGGCTGTACGATCTTCCCCACGCAGACTTGCTGGGCGAAAAGCCGAAGTGGCCGGACAATGAGGCGGTGACAAAGTGCAACGAAATGAAGTAAGTTCTGGGTATTGATAGCTAGCAAACCGCAGCAAGCATTGGATTAGAAGTACTCACAGTGTGTTCCGCATCCCGAAAGCTACTGTGTCTCGAGGTTTATCTTAAAGGAAGGGCAGTGTGTCCACATCAACAAAGGTCGTTTACATGCTTTCAGAAAGATGACTAATGAGCGGCTTCCTTACTCAGTCCCCGCGGATCCTTCTGATGACTGCCACGCATTTCTGAGGGCCAATCTCAAGATGCCTGGCACAAATGAAACCGTTGTTGGCCCCGGAAAGCCCGAAATTCTTTGCATCAGCGTTGCGTGGGATTGGATGTTCAGGGGCGTGACTGCCAAGGGAATCAACCGCGAAGTGGTTTCTTCTCTTGAATGTGCAGCCCTTATTCGAAAACACGGTGCCATGTCCTTGGCTATACCAGAACTTTCGCTCATTCAAATGGCTCGCACGCTGGCTCCGAAAGCAGAGGAGAAAAGCTCGCTTCCTGGGGCGTATCGAGAGTCTTTGTTTGGCTTTGACGACCACTACAAGAAGAGCAGGGCAGCGTTCACACCTGATCCTTCGGAAATTTGCAGGGGCATATTCCCTGGTCTTGAGTATGTCGTGAAGCAGCACAATGATGCGATTGAGATAGCAGAAAGCCTGAAAAGCAAATCATCCGAAAGGCACAAACGTGTATCGATCGCCAAGCGGCCCAATGCATGGGAGAATCCAGTAACACATCCTCTCGACCCCTACGGCAATAGTGACTTCTTCTGCAAACTCTGTAACAAAGAGTTGAGCAACGTTTACTTACACTGCGATGGGTGTGAGCTTCTGCTCAGCAAGGTATGTCGTTCGATCGTTCCTGGTCGCTCAGTTTCGTCGTCAAACCATTGCTGACGTCTTGCTTTGTCTGCAGGACTTTAACATCTGCATTGAGTGTCACCAAGAGAGACGCTATGCCACATCGGTTCAAATGCATCCGTTGAACAATAAGCGGCACAGCACAATCAATCATATCGGAAACATGACTTTGGATCGTGCAAGCCGGTGCCCGTGCAAGAATGGTCCAGTTTGCCGACATTGCAACTACTGTGCTGGATGTAGCTGTCGTTGTCACACTTGGTTTACCATGCATCATCGTTTCTTCGGGAAGGAAGATGAGCTCATGCTTTTGCACAGGGTTAAGCGTGTGGTTGGAAAAGAAGACTTGGAAGCAGCCGCAGAGGCTGAGAAACGATTGTCGATGGCCATCAGAGGTCGGTTCAATGAAGCGACCCCCGCGCCCCTTCTCGGGCTACACCTTCACAGTATGGATGCTATGGTGGATCCTCAATTTCAAGATGCGAATGAGTTAGACGATCCGGAAGAGGAGCGCAGTCACGATAGTGACATGGAACAAGACCCGCCAGCACCAGTCAGAAAGAGCCGTAGAATGTCACACGACGAAGGCGCGCCCGTGCCGATGGTAACATCGTCCCAAGAAGGAGACGAGCCAGAAATGGGCGGAGTCGTTAATGATGGTGTGCAAATTGATGTACAGGATATGACGGTCACGATTCGTTGCCAACCTGGAATGTTCTCCTCCACGGGACCAGGCATTGATCGTATCGCAACTTCTTCGGATGACGAAGATGACTCTGTTGAGGAGACCCATCGAATTGATCGCAACCTTAACCAGTATGACTCTGCTAGCACGGAAACGGATTCTGCTGCTGGAGGTCGCTTCAAGGACGCAGACGATAGTGACGACGAGACCGCGAATGAGACGGAGAACAACGGAAGTAATGGCGCTCAGAGGACCAACACGGGACGATGGACCGGTAGGTTGCAAGACTTGTGTGCTGTTCGTTTTGTGTCGCTTCGCCTGTTCTAACCATTCTTGTCGAACCATGCTACGCAGACGAAGAGCGCGAAAGACTCAGGGTTGCGTTGCTCCGTGAACCAGACATGGATTCTGTTGTCAGGTATGTCGGGACGCGCCAGTTTCCTGCGATCCGATCTTACGCCCCGAGGACGTTTCCAAAGCTTTTCGACCAGTTGCGTGAAAGAATGGAAATGAATAAGTCTAGGAGCAAAGGTAGGAGAAAGTCTAGGAGTCCCCATGCTGTTAAAGCGGAACATTCGTCGCGGCAAACTCGAAGGTCGCAAGATCCTCCCGAGTCTGGAGATGCAAAACCCACGACCCGTCGAAGCTCAAGACATGGCAGTCGTAGGCACAGTGAACCTTCGAAGGAAGAAGCTTCCCACAACTCAGATGATGACGACGACGACGACGATGTTACGGATGAAGACAGTTCCACCGAACCGCAAAGTGGTGATGAATACAACAGAGTTGCGCAACCAGGAACAGCGCGTCTCAAAGCAGGTAAGAACCCCATTCTGCAGGCAAGTCAGTCTACGCCAGGACGAAGCAGGCGAGCAACTCTGGGTCTATCCGGAGGGCGGAAACGACGCAACGGGTCGTCCGGTCTTACACGGCAAGTGGACCCACCCGTCGAAGGAGACAACTCGGAAACCAACTCTTCGATGGAGCTTGCCTCCCCTGCTCCCAAGCGTGCAAGGGTTGAAAAGCCTGATGAGGCAGTAGCTGAAGAAGCCAAGATGGGCAGTGCAGACTTAAAAGACGGAAATTCAAAGAATGCCGACACGGATGCGGCTGCTGCAATGATGGCAATGCTTGAGGATGCAAAGGATCCTGAGGCGGGAAAAGCAAGTGATTCCGAATCAAAGCTGAAATCGACATATGGAGAGCCCGAGGCAGGAAAAGTCGAAGCAAAGGATGCACCCACTGGCGAAGATGTCAAGGATGCAAAAGCTGATGATGCCATGGAAGTTGAGGATGAAGTGACAGCAAAGGAGGCAACAAACGTCCACGAGACCATGCCGGATGTCACAAGAGTCACCGAAACAAAGGAAGACGAATCTAAAAAGGAAGAGTTGCCAGCGAAGGAGGACTCAGATGTCGAAAAAAGCGAAGACGTGCCCAAGAAGGAAGAACGGGAAGGCACAAAGGAAGGCCGTGACAAAGCAGACGACGAGCCAGCGAAGAAAGATAGAGTCCACAGCGAAAAGGAAGCCGGTGACAAAGCAGATGAGCCAGCGAAGAAAGCTAAAGCCGACTCGGCGGAAGAGACTGGCCAAGAGGAAGCCGGTGACAAGACGCAGGAGCCGGAGATTAAAACCAAGGGCGGCAACAAAGTAGAGGAATCGGTATTTGAGGATAAAGGAGACAAGGAAAGGAAAGCGGAGGAGCCAGTGAAGAAGGATGGAGACGACAAGGAAAAGGAAACTGGCGTCAAGGCGGAGGAGCCTGTGAAGAAGGATGAAGGCGACAAGGAAAAGGGAGCTGGTGTCAAGGTGGAGCCAATGAAGAAGGATGAAGGCGAAAAGGAAACTGGTGTCAAGGTGGAAGAGCCAATGAAGAAGCAGGAAGGCGAAAAGGAAACTGGTGAAAAGGCGGTGGAGCCAATGAAGAAGCAGGAAGGCGAAAAGGAAACTGGTGAAAAGGCGGTGGAGCCAACAAAGAAGGATGAAGGCAACAAGGAAAAGGAAACTGGTGGAAAGGTGGAGGAGCCAACAAAAAAGCAGGAAGCCAGTAACAAAGCAGAGGAGCCAGCGAAGAAAGACACAGCTGACTACAACAAGGAAGCTGGAAAGGACAAATCAAAGGTGGTGGAAAAATCCTTGAAGGACGCAAAAGAAGAATCAAAGGGCGAAGAGAAGAAAGATGACACAGTGATGGCCATGGAAGGTGACAAACCAAAGGTTGCAACGGATGAGACTCCAATGGATGAGAAAAATGTAGAAGAAAAGGCGGGTGGTGCCAAGGATGTGGCAGCGAAGGAAACAACAAGTCAAGAAACAAAGGTGGACACCAAAGCGGAGGAGAAAAAGGAGGAAGCAACGAAGGACGTGGAAGCTGAGAAGCCTAAAACAGAGGGTGTGAAAGCGGAGGAGGGAAAGAAAGCTGACGCCGTGTAAAGTGTTGTTGTCATTTATTGATACTTTGTCAGGGAAACTAAGTCAACTTCCGTTTGTATGTCAACTTTAGTTAGAATAATAATAAGGGATCGGTTGATGCCATCAATTACATGTAACATCAAAAAGCCACCACCGCAGTTGCCAGCTACCTCTAGCTAGACTACTGGTACCTGGTAGTACTGTAGCAAAAACACAGCAAACTTCCTTGTCTACCGGACCGTCCGACGGTTTTTGCTCAGGTTTAAAAACTGCTCAAATCGTGGTTCTGGTTAAGGGAATGTTAAGGGAATGTTGAAGCTTTAAGGGAATGTTAAGGGAATGTTGAGGATTTAAGGGAATGTTTTAAGGGAATGTGTATTTAAGGGAATGTTCATTTTTTTAAGGGAATGTTCTATGGGGTTTACATGAAGGCTTAGAGGAATGTTTCGAAGCGTTAAAGGAATGTTGTTAAGGGAATGTTGATTTAAGGGAATGTTAAGGGAATGTTAAGGATTTAAGGGAATGTTTTAAGGGAATGTTTAAGGGAATGTTTCAACTGCAAAATTTTGAGTTTTTTTAAAACCTGAGCGAAAACCGTCGGACGGTCCCGCTGTCAACCCTTCTTGTTACGCTTGGAAGGGAGAGGTCACGCGCTTACAATTTCCTTTTTCTTGATCTGAAAATGAAAAAAATGTTTATTTTTCTCTCTTTCCAGAGTTCTTATTTCTTGTTGGTGGTGCTTCATAAGCCTCTGAATCTCAGTCACTTTCAAACCCTGAGTTAACAGCAACACAGACCAACCAGCTTTCTCGCGATCGATTGATTGATGATAACGAAGCCCATGAGCATCAACTTCGCCGCCGCCATCAGAGATACCCAACTAAAGTACTATAGCTAGCTAGTCGACGAGAGACTGTCTTGCAATCTGCTTCTGATAGGGTAGCCTACCCTCCAGTTGAACGCAACGTTGACTCTTATCTTGCAGGTTAATGACTCGATAAGAGAAGGACTTTCGCAACAATCAAATTTTGGCGTAACCATGAAGACATCACGGTCCTCGGCCTCTCGCGGCAAAAGGAGCGCTCATAGCCGAGGGAAACCCAAAGAAGTCGATGTGTACGAGCAACTTCGAAATAGCTTGATCAGTGCCGCAGAGTTAACTTCAGGAGGAGTATCGAGCAACATGTTTGTGTGTGGAGGAGCCTGGCGAGCAAGAAAGCAGTCGGTTTGGGAAGTCCATTACACGCCTTGGGACCAACCAGATAATCACTGGTATGTCGCTACTATTCACAGCACTGGCAGCCGCCGAGGAAGCCGTTCGTCGAGGCTACCCCCAAGAGATGTTTTTGAGTCCTTGCTCATGGTGGCGGAGCTACAATATTTCGTGGTGAAAGTCTTTGACAAATTCGGGGTAACACCAATGGAACCAGACCCGGAGGAAGAATACTGGTGTAGCGACAGATTCAAAGAAAAAATTGATGTCGGTATGCTGCTGCCTGAGCTTGGAAAGTTTGGTTTGGCTGGGAGGTTGTTGCGTCGCATGATGTCGACTGAAGGGCAAAAGACTGACAAGGGTGGCTGGAGAGTAGAACCTGAGCAAGCCTATGCACTCGATATTAAAGAATGGCGACCAGAAATTGTTCTAGGACCGGAAGAAATCCAGCAATCCAAAGCTAAATCGATGCAAGCTAGTAGCCAGCAGCCAAGTTCAGGTAAAGAAACCGATGCTACCCTGTATGCCGGACGACCTGTGCCACTTCCAGGTGTCAAGAAGCAAAAGGTAATGAACCCTTCTTCCCAGAGAGGGCGACACCGCGGTGCAGGATTTCAACCCGTGTCCATCTTGGCAAACAATAGACCAGTTGTTGCCAAAGTTGCTGACGACGAAATGACAAACAATGGACCTGTTGTTTCCGAATCGGATCACAGCACAGATGACGACGAATGCAAAGAATGGAGCGACAACAACCAAGCTCGCCCAAAGAAGCAAACGAAGGCGTTGCACCACGAAGCCAGTCACAGTGAAACGGATGTGTCGACTCTGCATCAAGACAGAGCGAGGTTGGCGGGGCGGCAATCGTCGAGGCCGCGAGTCAAGAAACGACCGTACGGTGCTGGCACGTCGAGCATGTTGGACTCTACGGCTCTCGAAGGTCAGACGGATGCATTCAACAGTGGCTCTCTGCATAGGCAGTACCACAGAATGGGTCTTGGTCCACAACCACATTCACCAGGCCGTACGCATGAGCACGCTGAAGAAGTGGAAGTCCAAGAACACTACCAAAACGAAGATGCCCAAGCAGACAAAGACTATGAGCCACTGGAAGACGATATGACCTTGGAAGACCACGGGGAGGAACAAACACTTTCCTCAGATGATGGAACGCGCCAACCTTTCCTCCGCCCTCGTTCCACCAGAAAGCGCAAGTCGCCTCACATGCCTGAATTGACAACGAGCGGCGAGGTTGATAGTACTGCAAATTTGGCTCGACCGAGACAACCGGCAGATTCGTCTGAGGTTTCAGCGTCGGCAGAGCCTGTTCGAAAGTCAAAACGAGCCCGGAAAGAGGTGCAACGATATGATGACACGAACTATGCGAAACCTCCAAGGGGCGTAGCGAAAGACAAGGACGGGCAAGCTGAGTCCGCTGGAAATCCCGGAGAGCACCAAGGTCATAGCAGAGGAATGGCAACGCGGTCTCACCGAACAGACCCACGCTTGGAGACTGACGACGGTAATGGTCAGGACGATGAGCATCCGTCAGTCAGGTTTGAAGATCCGCCGACCAAAACTCGGACATCCGGCCGCATTGTGTCCTCGAGAACGAATGCGATATGTCCGAGACTTTGTCTCCTTCATGTCAAAGTCAATGGTCGGTTTCTGGCAGAACCCTTGGAAGCATTGATGTGTGCGGAAGGCATTCCAAGGGAAGAATCCGGCGAGCAAAGCTCGAAGAAGTATTCCTTAAGAGAAAGGGTTGCTCGTAGCTACTCGGAAGACGACTCCGAATCCCACTATGAAGAAGTTGCACAAGCCGACAACGCATCCTTGCCTCCAGAAGCTGAGCACGCTGCGTCAGACGAAGACGACGAAGTTGCTCCAACTTCCACCGGTCCTCCTTTTGTACTTTCAACATCAAACAGGTTGACAACGCTCAACCTGGTGCACGAGTACAACGATGTTGCCTGCAAACGGCATGAGTTGTGCTTTCCCTTGGGCAGCTACAGAAACGACGAAAGCGCCAAAGAGGCTCTAGAGTCTCTGCGAACCCAAATGGAGGAACTGAACGAGAAGCAACCTTTCGTAGATCCGGACGAGGACGATTTTTTGGCGGAGCAACAGTTGCACAACAGGACCATGCGAATAATGCAGGGACGAAGAAGCCAAGAGAAGAGTATGCGGTACAACGAAAAAGAGCATGCTGAACACATGGCGAACGTTGCACGCCAACAACAGTGGATCAACAAGAAGAAGGCGCCAACCATTGAGGAGACAGAATGGGAGGAGGTTTTAGATCGTCGTATTCAGTTCTCGACATGTCGAACGATGAGGACTAGACGAATTTGCGGGTCAGAGAATTGCCCTTGCGAGACGTCAGGAACCCGAACGACGAGAGGCGCAAGCACTGGCAATGCCAAGGCTGATGCGCCATCTTGCCGGCTTTGTTCTGGCGCTGCAAACTCCGCAGAGGACACGTGCATTCCTGACAAGAACATTATGCCATTGTGTCGCCTGATTGACACTGACGCGCCCGAGTTTCTCGAGAGGGACGCCGAAGTCAACGAAGACGAGCAAAAGCAAAACGAGGAGCCGACAGAAAAGAAGAGTACGAGGGTTAGCAAGCGTATGCAATTTGACGCTCAGAAGCGCCACGAAACAATCATGAAGCTCTCCGAGATAGAGCGATCAGTTGACTTTATCGAGCAATACAACGCTGGACTGCTTGAGAAGATTACAACAGGAGCATAGACAGCCACAAATCTGGCTGTTCGTGTAGCGCCGTAGGCTATAAGAAATTATAAATGCTATAGATGCCATTTGCTTGGGCACCTCAATGTCGTTTCTGCGAGCTAGCTACTACTAGCTAGAAGTCAACTCGCTGGCTGCTGAAATCCTATGAGCAACAAGGCCACCAAGCTAGCAAGCAAGGTTACCAGGTAAACAGCAGGCACCATATTATTGAAGTGACAGTGGAAGCCCTTAGGGTTGCTTCTGGTCACCAGTCGCTGCTTTTGCCGCGGTCACTGCTGCTGCCATGGCCTTACCGCCCACACCCAACTGGTTTCTCATAAGAGCGTCCGGTCCATGCGGCATGTCCATAGTATCTCTGTGCATGTCTTCGAAATTGTGAGCGTGGAAGAAAATCACAACAAAGCTGTATCGAGACGGAACCATTAGCTATGAGTGAGGTCGACACAATCTGAAGAAGACATGGGCAATGAACATATACTTACGTCCACAGATGGAGCATCACGAGATATGATATGAAGGCGGCCCTCGCAAAGGGATTCGCACGTAGATATTTGCCTACATAAAAAGTGTCAAGATAGCAGTGTTAGCAACCAATAATCAAGGAATCAACAGAATAAACAAGACATAATAACAAACCAGTGGAGACGGAGAAAGTATCAAGAGCATCAACAGCTTTCTTCCCTCCTCCCTCAAGCTTCATCGCTGCGCTGATTGTCGTAGTTCCAGAATTGGGTCTACCTCCACCGCGTCGTCTCATGGTATTTCCACTAGATGGCGAAGCTCTCTCCATTCGATCTAGAGAATCACTGCTCTGTCCAGCCAAGGTCTCTTCCAGTGCGACCTCCGCCTTCTCAGCTCTATCAAGAGCAGTTTTTAAACGGCTTTTCATGGCAGCTATCTCGCTAGAGTAGCTGCCCATCTTCTCTCTTCTAAGCAGGATTTCTTCCGACAATTCCTTGATCTGGCCCCTCAATGCATGAACTTCCGAACTCTCGTCCTTGGTCGATCCTTTGGCATTGCCGGAGCCGCCGTCGTCCGCGCTTGCCTGTTGTTGTAAACGTGATACCTGCAGGGTAAGCTCAGAGATTTGACGATCGTACTTGTTTTGTCTCATACGATGGTTGGTGGCCTCTTCCGTTCTTTCGTTAGAAATGTCCTTCAATTCACGTTGCAGTGCCTCAGTCTAGTACGTTTTATGCGCCGTTTCGAAGAAGCAGTGAAGCAGAGAACGCCAAACGGTAAGCCAAGGCATGCTCCCTGGACACAAACAACGAATACACGGCACAAAGCAATGGCTCACTTACTCGTTGCCTCTCCAAATCAAGATTTGCCTGTGCCGTCTCAAGGTCGTGCAGTGCCATATCAAGGCGCACCCGAAGCCCGCTATCTTGTGAGGTGTTCTCTCCTCCTGCTGTATCGCTGGCTTCCAACTTGGCCTTTTGAAGGTCGGAAAGCCTGCTATTCTCCATGTTTCGACCCGCAGCCATTGCAGCTCCAAGTTCGGCAATGGTACGTTCGAGCTCACTTTCGCGTGATTGCCTTTGGCTAATTTGATGCGCATGCACCGACAAGGCTTGATCCAGGCGCTCTTCCGCCTCTCTCTCACGTTCCATGGCGCTGTCGGCTGCTTGCGAAAGTGACTCAATACGATCGCCAAGGGTGACTTGTTGCGTCTGCAGCGTTTCGATCTGTGCCAAAAATGTTTCCTTTTCATCCCTGTCGCACAAAAAGCCAAAAGGGCATTAGGCAGGAAACATTCATAATCACGAAAGACCGATTGCGCTTCTCTGTCAACACCAGAAAAAGTGTGTGTGTTCCATATCACTTACTCAAGCATGGCATTCTTCTGCCTCAGCGATTGTTCTCGATCCACAGCTCCTTGCAGCTCCTTATCCCAGTTCCCACCTTCTTGCATTCGGGTTTGCTCCATATCCCGAAGTTTATGTGCCATGTCCGCGAGTTGCTTTTCCATTCTTGTCTTTTGTTCCATCAAGGTTGTTTCATGTTGTGTTTGAACGGAGCTTAGTTCTTCGGCATGGCGTTTGCGTTCATTGTCACGTTCCGTCCTAGCCTTCGCACGATCCTTTTCCATGAATGCACCAGCCTGTTCCAACTCTTTCCTCTGGGCCGTCACTTCAGCCTCTGCCGTCTCTAGTTGTTTGTTGAGGGCAAGCATATGTTTCCTGAGAGTTCGTACCTCCTTTTGGGCTTCCCTAGCTTCCTTTACCAATGTTGGATTTGGATCAACTTTTGGTGGTGGCACAGGGGCCGATTTGGGGGTTGGTGTTTGTTTGGGAGGCGGTGTCGGCGCTGGAGGCTTCGGCTTTGACTGTTTGGCGGGTGGGGGTGATTTCACTGCAGCTTTTGCCTGAGCTGGTGATTTTGGCTTTTGTTGTGTAGGTGTAGCCTTGGCTTGTTTTGCTGGTGTCCCTTTTTTCTCAACAGGAACATGCTTTTTGTCTTCTTTAGTTTTGGGTGTTGGTTTTGCGTCGCTCTCATCTCCTTTTCCCACCTTCTTCGGTGCAACTTCAGGTGGGGCTGTAACTTGCTTTTCTGGAGTTTTGGCAGTTTTCTCAGCACCACCAGTGCCAGTAGTCGATTCGGCTTCCTTTTCGACGCTTCGCTCGGCAGATGGCTGTCCACTTAGCTCCTTGACGGGCTTTTCTTCAACAGGTGAAGGTTCAGCACTCTCCACTTCTGTAATAGTGGATTCTTGTTGCTGATTGTTGGTATCAGTGGCAACAACTGTTTCAGGCAGCTCCTCTTCAGGCTGATCCACTTGGGTGGCTTCGACGACCGCCTCTTTTGTGGGTGTCAATGCCAAATCATCATCTTCATTCGATATTGCCAGACCACGTGATGCCAAAATGGAATCTAAATTGGCCGACTCATCATGCTCTTCTTCGCCTCCGACCTGCGTATTGATATTTTCTTCCACATAGGTCTCTGCCTGATCATCCAGCTGCTCGAAAAAGTTGTTGACTTGCGACAACCAGCTGGAAATTGGAGAAGTAGCACAATAAGAAGACCAATAATGAGACACGAGGACACCTTTACAAACCAACCAACAGAATTTGCCTACCGTGACATTTTGCTCCCTCTGCTAACGAATCAATCACTACGATGATAGTAGCCTATTAGCGTATATCACACCTCAAGTCAACAGGATCAGTGCAATAAGACCGGTGGTGCTCTACCTTTACGGACACAACAAAAACAAACCCACGAAGATCTCGACATGGTGAGGAAAAGATTCGAATGATTGATTCGATTCGATTCGTTGAATTCGAATCAATCATTCGATTCGGATTCCAATCGGTCCTGAACAAGACGTCACCTGAGCTCACTGTGACCTGTTTCCTCAACTTGAACGGGAGTCGAGTCGACCATTTCAGCACGGCCATGCACTCCTGCTGCTCTATCTTTCAGCTGCAGATGTCTTCTAGCTAGCTAGGATAGTAGAGAAGAGAAGAGATCCCCGGCTTGGTTGCATTGGCAGAGACCTTGTCTGTGGCATGCAAGCACAAAGTGGAAGCAAGGGCTTCTATATCTGGTACCGGTACCGGACCACTGGTAGCCAGCGATCAGTTCTCGACGCACTTTTTCTTTTTTAGTTTGCAGAGCCATGGACAATCCCGACGCAAATAACTGTAGCTACTGTAGTTTCATCGTTGCCATCAGCCCTCGATTTGCATCCAGTCTCTGTGCCTTTTCTCTTATTACGAATGCAAGAAGAACAAGCATGCCTCACCCCTTACACTCACCCGTCAACACCCCAACCCACTCCGGAACGGTTACGGGCAAGTCACGAAAACGAATACCCCAGAGCCCATCAACCGTTTTGATGTGACATGCTGCTCATCATCCCCCGAAATAGCCGACATTCCGCCTATCTATGATTCTCGCTGGCAATTCACTGTCAAAACTGGAAGTCTCGCAACGTCTGCTGTTGTTGTCCTCATACGTGGACACAAAAACAAGGCGATTCTTGGCCCGTGTAGCAGCAACGTGTGCTAGTCTTCTTTCTTCATCCATGTGCAAGTCTTCTGCTGTTATTCCTCGCTCTTTCTCGTCTTTGCAGGTGTAATAGTCTTTGCAATTCATGGAACAGGGGATGACACAGCCGGGAACACGAGCATGGCAACCGCGTTGATGACGAGTTGGAAGATAGTGACTGTCGAAATCTTGAAATGATGTCGGCATGTATTCCTCGTTGAAGAATGGAACATATACGTCGTTCCACTCCAATCCCTTCGCCCGGTGGATTGTGCAGAGCGTAACTCTGTTATCCTGTTTGCCATCTAAGCCGCCCTCCGTATCATCCATCTGCAATGCCATGTCTTCCAAGAAGCTGCTCACTGTTGCCAAACCAATACCTCCTTCCATGTACAGCTCATCCAGCAACAGTGGCGGAAGAACAACTTGCGGAAGTTGGTCATGTTTCAGAGCCGCAGCATTTTTCATCAAACACTCGGATGCTAGGCTCGCAAGCGACTTTAATCCAATCGACTGGGACCTCCTGTCCTCACGCCTTACCCGTTCTCTAACATGAGCTTCGGCAACGGCAAGAAGGGCTTTGACTTGAGCGGTTAGAACCGGTTTGTCTGTCGCAGTTTTTGAGGACGCCGCGTCTTTCTCTTCATTACCGTTTGACTTGTAACTTTCGTAACCCTTCGATGCATCCTTCTTGTCAGCCTTTTTCTTTTCCTTGTTCTTGTGCAGTTCATGGAGACCTGTTCTTTCCCATATAAAATGCAGCAAATCGGGGAGCTTTCTACTGAGCGCTGCGGCACGAAGTTCACCGATCAATTGGAAGAACTTTTCAAGGCCATCCAACTGGCTTTTGGACAGTACCTGGTCGCCCCCAGGGAGTCGTAGCAATGCTCTGCCTGCCTCCTCAAGGCACACCGTGGTTGTTGCAACGTCAAAAGGTTTCGAAGCTGCCTCTTTTGCCGTCATTGCAGATTGATGGGCCTTTATCAGATCCATGGCCTTGTTGCCAATCTTCCGAGAAGGCTTGTTCAGCACTCGTGCAAATGCATCGTCGTTCATGCGTTCTCTGGTCCCCGTCAAGGTAAGGGTAAGATATGCCAGAACGTCACAGCTCTGCTCTCCTGCAAGAAGAGACTGCCCCCCAACTATCTTATAGGGAATTTTCAGTACTCCCAGTTGCTGTTGAAGAGCATAATGCAACGGAGCTTGCGGTCCCATCCGAAAACAGCGGAACAAACACGCAGTATCCCCCCATTGAACTTTATCATTGCCGTCGTGTCTTTTTCTGATCGACTCTGCTATTTGTCGAGCTTGTGATTCAGCTGTTCGACATGTCCAGAGTGCCACCTTCTCGCCACTTCCTCGTGTGGGACGAAGAACCTTCCGTGTTGGTTTCGTCAGGTCCTCAAGGAATCCGCCACCTGCTTGCAAGATATTGCCCGTAGATCGATAGTTCTCTTCCAACTTTGCTTCTGCGACTTCGCCAAATGATGCATAGTAACCTGAGAATGCCTCAAAATTGCCAGGCCAGGCACCTCGAAACGCATAAATGCATTGATCATCATCGCCCACTACCGTCACTCCCCCCTTCTTCACAATTTGTTGCAGAAGCTCTGATTGGACCTTGGAGTTGTCTTGATATTCGTCAACAATGACATAGTCAAAGACATTATGGAACATGTTGGCAATCCATTCATGGTTTCGGAGAAGGCCTCCGAAGAGCTCCAGCATCTTGTCGAAGTCAATTTTGCCGGTCCGAACCTGCATGTTTTCGTACCGTCGGAGAATTGCTTCGTCTTTTGGTAGATAATCAGCAAGGTTGTGTTGACCCAACCTTGCCCTCTCAACAAGTTTCAAATAGGTCGTCTCAGCATGTTCTCCTCCCCACTGCCTTTCAATGTCACACTCTACTTGCGATTTTGCATTATTCCTACTGACAAGCAATAGTTCCAGATAACAATGTCGTTGGATTTTGGATTGTAGAAGCAGTTCAAGCTCTGCCGCCTTCTGCTTCTGAGCCGCAGATTGTTTCCTTTTAGACGGATTGGCTGAATTCTTGGAGCCTTGCTTCGCAGTCGGCTTTTGCTGATTGCTCCCCGGTGATGCTGACTGCTGTTGCTGGCTTTTTCCTTGCTTCTTTCCGTTCTTGGCGGAAAGGTCTGCCTCTCCTCTCGCGCGTGCTCTAGCGTACTTCTCGGGGAATCTTTCTTTCACAATGCGGATGACGGTGTCCCATGAAGCTCGGGTCTCAGCAGGTGGCAGGCCAAGGAATTTGTAGCATCGCTGAAGCTGTGAGTCTTTTATATGCGAATGGATGACTTCCTTCATGAAGGCTTTCTGTTGAGCCTTGGTTACTAACAAGCTCGGATAGCTGCCCAGGCCGCACTGCTTCCAGAAGGGTCGTATCCAACTATACGCCAAAGAGTGGAACGTCTTCACAGTAGGGAGCTCGAAAGTTTTTTCGTTTCCTTCTTGTTGAGCCACCACACTGAATTCTGATTTGACTCGTTCCCTCATCTCACCGGCTGCCTTTTTTGTGAAGGTCAACATGAGCAACTTTGCGGGATCAAGGCCATGGAGCGTAACAAGTTTGACAGCGCGTGATACCATCGTTTGTGTCTTGCCAGTACCTGCGCCAGCTCTCACTGACAACGGAATATGCGGAGGATGTTCTGCTATCTTCAATTGTTCAGCTGTGAGCTGAACGCTACGGGTACCACTTTCAGCCGTAGCATTCCCTCCTTCATTCAACTTTGGCTCGGCAGCTGAAACCATATCTCGCTCTCGCTCAAGCTGTCCCAAGTGGTGTTCGAGCAGATACTTGTTGTCTTTGAATTTTTCCAGCAAATCTCTTCGATGCTTTTCCCAGTTTAACTTATCTTTGTCTTTCTTTGTGCCGGCATCCTGGGAGAAAAGGGGGGCAAGATTCCGAGGGGACATTGCTGATGGCTTTGTCGATTTATGTTTGGTTTCTGGCTCTTTCAATCGTCGTGATGGTGTTGGTGTCACTGCTTTGATACCTGACTGTTGCCTTTGCTCTTGCGTTTTCGACGCCTTGACGGGTGTCACCTTTCTTTGACTGTCATTGTCCGAGTGTTTCTTGGATACCCCTGTTTTAGAAGTTGGCGTTGTTGGCGTTGTTGGAAATGTTGCCCTGTCGATTGTTGGTTTCTCAGGCGACACGACCCCTCTATCACCATCAGGCTTCCCAGCTGAAACCCCAAATTCTTCCAATGCCAGAGCTGGTCTTTTCGCAGTTGCACGATCATGAGTGCAAAGCGCTTGTCCTCCTGGCATAAGAGTCTGCACTTCCTTTCTTGCATTTTGCATCAGCTGGTGTGTGTCCCCGTCCTCCCCACCGAAATCCAGCCGCCTGCGAGCAGCTGAACTGCTCTTGGTGCTAGATGCCGATACCTCCCCTATCCTTGGAGAATCCGGAACAACTTCTGGTTTCCTTGGCTTCTTGGGCTGGAAGAAATTATTAATCTTCCCCTGCCCAGCTTCTGGCTTCTGGGCTTTCCGTTTCACCATACTGTGCTCGTTCTGATCGATTCGATGCCCAAGATGTTGTAAATACAGGTACCGGTACTATCAAGTGTGGTGACCAAGCGCGCGACCCAGCCAAGCAGGGTGAAGAGTCAAGCCAGACGAGTCAAGCCTACCAAAACCAAATATTCTATTTGAGTCTTACACCTCTACTGTGAGGCTCAACTAGCAAGGCTCACAACATCTCCATCTTGTCCACCAAGTCTTCCTCCTTGATTGAGCCTGAGTACTCACGCGGTTGGTTCATCTGGTCTTGATCAGCCTGAACAACCATCCAACGGGATACTCAGGAAATTTTCTCTTTGCGCCCCGCCTGTTCCCTCGCTCTTTTCCTCTCGCTCTTTCTCGCTCAACGTCCGCCATGGGCTCCTCCGCCTCCGCCATGGGCTCCTCCTCATTCCTGCACCGCATCCCTTTTTCTCACGGGGGGGGTTGTAGTGTTGGTTGGTTGGTTCTAATACAGTCTGAGTTACCGCTCAGGGCCTCTGTCGTTGCGTTAGTAGGTGTCCACCAGTCTCTTTTTGTTTACTAGCGTTTATATCGTTACTATCTGAATATGACTGAAGACTCCAAGTCCTTCAAGGGGGACGGAAATGAGACAGACGACTCGGCAGATTTGCTGCAGAGTCTGCTTCATGGGAGTCTTGACCTCTCGCCAGAGAAAGGCACCCGTACCCCTTCAGCGAAGAGCAAAGCGAGTGTCGGTTCTCCAACCGATACGAATATCGAGGGAAC